CTGCTCTGGAGCGGAGGGACCCGAGGGACAGGGGAGAGCCTGGCGCTTTCCAATGTGCTCCTGGGGAAGCCGGCCCCGCCCGCCGTGGCTCCTGGTCCCTGCCGGAGCCGGGAGCGCAGCCGGGCTCCCATTTCTGGAGCCCGGAGCTTCCTGGGTTCCTGCGGCGCAGCCCCACCCGTGGGAGATCTTCCCCTGCCCTTTATCTTCCTGGCAGCTGGCTTGTTTAAAAAGAACAGCTTTGGAGAGCTAGCAGCAGTGTCTGATAAACTCCAGTGTGTTGCTTAGAGTTTAGAGTGCAGGCTTGTGCTGAAGATTCCCGAAGGCTCTTCAAATGTGCTTTATTTTCCGTCAGCACTAAATTTCAGTCCGTAGAAAGCAAGGATAGAGTCACGGCCAACTTTTGTGGGCGTTGTTGGGTCGTTTTTTTCTTTCTCTTTTTTTTTTTTTTTTTTTTCCCTGTGATTAAACAAATCAGCTGACACAAAATTTCTTCCTCACCGTGTCACGCTGTCCAACATTTAGCAAATGCTGTTGTGGGAGGAGAATTCTCCATGCTGTTTTCCCGCTGCTTAAAAGGAGAATATTTAATTATTTGGTTTTTTTGTTTGTTTTTTTTTTTCAGCAACCAGAGTAGTGCTGTCATCAGAGACATGTGCATTCCTCTTAGAGGCACGACATCCCAAAAGTAGTGTCCCTGGACCTCTGTGATGAGGACCTACAATATTTGCTTTTGAAGAATTTTTTTTTTCCGGGGAGTGGTTTCTTTGTGAATTTATCAGTCAGAAGTGTGTTCTGCATGAAGCAGAAGTACTTGGGAATCAGCAAGTTAGTAAGATCCATGAATGGAAATGTTTGAAGTGGAAAGCCCGAAAATAAACGAGCAATTGCCTGCACTGATAAAAAGAACTTCGTATCAATAGCCAAATCTCGTACATTCTTGTATGGTACTACGTTATCTGCTCAGGTCAGTTGACTAAAATGAAGTAGATATCTGTTCTCTGAGAAGCTCTTTGTTTTTTCTTGTTTATGACACATGATAATTGCTGTGCCAGACTTTCAGCTGAATTATTTTGAAAAAGGAAATTCACGCAATATTCCAAGAAGAGAAGGGAGTGTGTGTATTTGTGTAGTAGTTCTTTTCTGTGGAATTAATGGTGAATTTGTTAATGATCTCAAGATTGTGACATTTAAATATGAAGTTCACAAGCTGGAGTGTTCACACATGCTCATCAACTAGGAAAAAAGTCTTCAATCTGCTGTTGTTGGAATATGTAATGCCCTGTGTGATTCCTAGAATCACAGTCCAGGAATATGTAGTTTGATGTCATAGATTAAATGATAGGGAAGGTTTTTTTTTGGGGGGTGGGGTCTTCTGTAGATCTCTGTAGAGTTCACTAGATGTCTGGAATTCTTGTCTGGGCACTGCTGCTAGCTGAACCTGCCAGTTATTGCAAAATATTTCACATGTGAAGGGAAGAGATTGCCAAAGGCACCTTCTTTTCCACAGCAGTTTTCTGATTGCATCTTCCTGCACTTTTATACTTGTAAATTAGTATAGCTCACAAATACCAACCAGGCTTTTCACAAGTTGGTTTCACCTTTTCCTTTTTTTTTTTTTTTTTTTTTTTTTTTTTTTGTCTTTTAAAGGGATAGACAAAATGAATCCTTTCTATTTTCTGGGTTTTGGACATTCTCATCTAGGCTTCTTCGGGAACAGGAGTGGACCTTTCAACAGAACAAATGAAACTTATTGCTACAGTACTGCTCAGGGCAGCACAGTGCTCCAAGGAGTAACTTTTGGTGGAATCCCAACTGTCCTGCTGCTCGACGTAACCTTCTTTTTTGTAAGCCCAGTTTTCTGTTTCTTATATTGAAAGTTGTTCTGGCCTCTCAAAAGTTAGATTGTTCAGAATTCTCTTTTTTTTTGGGTTGGAATTTGATTTCTGGGAATGTTCAGAATAAGAAATGAGTTGAGGCCATCCTTCTCTTTTCAAGTGTCGATAAGTGTTTGCATACAGATGGGATGGTGGAGTCACTTTATGTTGGATGTGTAGATGTAGGGAGAGTGCAGTTTTAAAGGTTCTGTGTATGAAATTAGTGAATTTTGTTGTTGTAGCTCAAATTTTCATATTTTATCTTAACTGCAAGAATGTTTGGGTGTAAGTACTGGGTACATTTTCAGGAAGGGGACACCATTACTAACTCGGTTGTGAAATGACAGGTTTTCCATGTTGTATTGCCTTTTGAAAAACCAACTTTTTAAAAATTAGATTTCCTGAAGCTGTAGATGAAGATGGAATAATGTACTGACCAGTCCTGACAAAAGGTGGTTAGCAGGTAGGTTAGGTTGATAGCAACTAATATGATAAGTTGCTACCTGGGGGCTGCAGTACAGGCCTGAAACTGCACTAAAACTTGTGGTTATTTTTGTAAGCTTGGTCTAGTGTGGTCTTCAGCCACCAGAAACAGGGCTGCAGACCTGCAAATTGGCCTGAGAATAGGGTATGTGGTAGTAAAATAGACTAAAGGGGTAAGAGTTTCTGAGTTCTAGAAATCTGCTGTAAAGAAACTTGAAGTACCTGTGGTCTGAGCTGGTCGTTCTGTAGGAATGTAGAGGATACTCCTCAAAGTTAGGTAGTGGCATTCTTTGCTGTTGATTTGGTGTATGCTACCATAAATCCATTTTCCTGAGGATGTAAGGTATTTACAGCTCTCTGTGACCAATGGCACAGAATTTAATAAGATTTAGTTGAAGTGTTTGCCTTTTTTTTTTAAAACTGTGGCTCAGTTTTAAGACACTGAGTTTGCTTTTGAGTTCCTTGCTGTTGAACTCTACACTCAAGCAGGGTTAGGTAGAGAGTTGGGTGCAGTGCAGGAGGCTCCTCTCTTCTTCAAATCCAAGAGCTGAAAATTATTTATACAATGATTTATCAACTCCTGTATTCTTAGCTTTGACTTTTTTTAATATATTTTTACTGCATATCCTTTTACTGACTGTCAGTTGATGCGTTTCTGATATGTTATTCCTAGGCTGGTTTCCAAAGAAAGTGAGTTTTATGTATTTGTCTTCCCATTTTTATCTGGCAGTCATTCCTAATAGCTGTAGAATACTGTAGCCAATTTCAGCCAAAGTTGTGAAGAATGTAGAGAACTTTCCTGCTTGCACCAAGTTTACTGACCAGATGAAGGAGAAAGATCTAAATTAATCATCCCAGTTAGGAGGAAGGCTCTCATAAGAATGTTATATTCATTGTGAAATGTGGAAATTGGCTGTGTAATCTTGACACAGAGATAATCTGGATATGTATCCTGGCTGGCTAGTCAGTATTTGATCCCAGTACTAACACCACTTTCCAGCCAAACAGGTATGGGATGGAGGAGGAACTGGGAGGTGAGGGTGTATCGTTACATATGCATAGAAAACAGGCCTTGATACATCATTGCTTTCTGTAGAGCAACTTGTTTCTTTAAAAAAAAAATAAAAAAATTAATCTATGAAATACTCAGTGATGGAGCTTTTTTCTTGTTTTCTTCTACTCCTTCAAAAAGGGAAAATACAGGGGGCAGATTAAAAATACATTGCAGAGATCAGAGATAGGTAGTGTTGGTCTGTGGTATGGCCACCACTGAGTTTATATTATGATACAATGATAACTGATTTAGGAGCTCAGACAGCATTTTTTGTCAGTTCTTAAACACCTAAGAATGATTATTATGAAATGGGAAAAATAAATATTTTAATATCTTCTTTTTTCTTTTCTAGATTTTAATATTACTGTTTTCCATTATAAGAAAGAGATTCTGGGACTATGGTCGTGTTGCTCTGGTGTCAGAAGTTGAAAGGTAAAAAAGATATGCAATCAGACTGACTTGTTGAAACCATGTGGGGAGAAAAGTACAGTAAATGTGGCTTTTATAAGGTGAATTTGTATCAATTAGATACGTTTGTTATCACATGCACTTGTGTGTTAAAAATGCTCGCACACTGCTTTGTGTGAAATACATCCCCCTCAGAGAGTTACTGTGGTTTCAGCCGTAAGTCCTGTGTTTCCATTGCTGTGAATTTCATCTTACAGCTGTGAGTTAAGGAAGTGGAGGTAAGGAAATAGGCTGCTTGTCTCTGACATGCTGCACACTGATGTTTGCAGTGTGCTTCTGTACAGAGGGATATTAACCATTTTGTTTATCTTGGCTCAAACCCAGTGTATTCCCAGAGCTCCCTGCACAGCCTGTGCCACAGAAGTTCCCAAGGGTTCAAAAATGAAAACTTATTGTCACAGGTTTCTAAAATTCTTCACTGGTTTTTAGTAGTATTTCAAATGAGCTTTTGATTTATTTTTTTTTTCTGTAGGATGATGTGTTGGGATGTTTAAAATCTAAGCTGTATGTGAAATGGGGGAACTTTAACAGTGAACCCCTTCCTGGTGCAATCAAGTTATGGTAAATTCACAAATGAGCAACGAGAAAGAACTCAAATCCTGTTTTTAGGTGTAATCTATGGACAGTTGTGAAAGATAGATGATGTAAAATAAAATGGGCAGTAATGAGAAGGCTTTAATCCAGCTGGCTGAGGCAGCAGTCATGAAGGTGCTCTGGGACTGGGCTGTGGACTCATGGGGCCAACAGGCTAGAGCAGTCAGACATCCAGGAGCCTATGTTTTTGCCCTGCTGGACTGTGAGCTGAGCATGCTGGCCAAAATTACAGAGACACCTAGGAACACACTTCATTCTAACAGGTGTCTTCCTCTAATTACCATTGCAACATTTCTTTTTAGGGACAAACTGAATATAGGCACTCTGCTACATTTGAGGGCTACAGAGTTTCTAAATATTTCTAGCCTTGCTACAGGACTGTTTGTGTGTGAAGGTGACTTTGCAGGGATTTAGTTGTGAGGGGAAATTCTGAGCAGTGACTATACAATAAAGGAAGAAAGATGCAAAGAAAAGAAGTGATGTCTTGTAGGGAATATCCAAACAGGAAGCCAGCTTGCAAATCTGATCCTGCCTAGGCTTCCAAACCTGTGTTGCATTCTGTTAGATCACTGTGGTTTTAATAGTCTGATAAAATGTTATTTTCTTTCAAGTTCAGTTGTGTGCTCTCCTGTTGGGAACTCACGTGTCCTCTCTGTTCAACATGAGACATACACAAGTTACTATAATCAGACATGTGCTACAGGGTGAAAATCACATAAGTGAAAAAGTGTGCTTCTACTACATCCCTTAGTCAGAACTGTTAAAGATGAAATAATTCTGTAGAACTCCATCATCTGTTGTTAAAGATACTCAAAAGCATCATTTAATGTGTTTTAGTGAATCAAGATATAACCGGCTGTCATCATCATCATCATCAGTACCTGAAGATCTTGAATATGATAAAGTAAGTATTCTAGAGTTCTGATAATACTTTCTGAATAGAATCTGCTGTAATTTGCCATTCCATATAGTCCAATGAACCGTCATTAAACTGGAGGTTCATCTCTATGCAAAAATCAATAATGCATTGTTAACTGTGTTTTTATAGAACAATGCACAATCTCTGTTTCCTGACAAGCTATTGTCATACCATAAAACCAGTATCTTGTGTCATCATTTCTAAGTCTGGTTTGGTTTTTGTTTTTTTTTAATTTAAAGAGGGACTATGTTAGTGTTTCAAAATGAGAAGGGCGAGTGAAAAAAAGACTGGTAAATAATTTGTGCTGGAATAATAGTTCAAAAAGTTACATTGTGTTCACATTGCAAATAATACCTGGTTGCTCTTTACAGTACATTGTTTTCCTCACAGTGTTGAGAAAACTGGATGCAAGTGTGAGGCTAATAATAGTGTTATGCACTCTTAATAATCAAGTTGGTTTGGAGTGGAGGGTAATATTTTGGCCAGACTTTTAACTGGCTCCCTCCATGGTCTTTCTGAAGTCCTTGAATTGGTACACCTCTATAATTTTGTGTTGCAACTTCAGAAGGAACCATGCAAAAGTTATCCCATAGTGGCATCCTAAGTTTTCATCATTTTATATATGCATGCATCAACTTAATATCTAGCCTTTTTTAGATTTACAGATGAATTATTTGTGTGAGCATCAAAAGCATACTAGTGTTTGATCAGGATTGCTCTGCTATTTGTGTACTTCATCTTTTTAAAACCCTAAAGCAACTTTAGCCATTGAGTAACACGTATCTATTTAGTTGGATAATGTTCACTTGAAAGAAGAGCCCTTTTGAGAGAGAAGGGTTTTTTGAACCATAGCAGAATGCTCAGTGAGATGTGAATTCTGCTATCCAGTTTCATTGGGAGATTTGTAATCCTACGTAAGAAGCCTTTCTGTTAATGTAATCACAGCAGTGTTTTCAGCAAGCATTTAACTGATTAACTTGTATTAGACCCTTGTATTTCAGAGCAACAAACTACCAGTTTTTTAGCTAAGAGAAATACTTGTCTTAATTGGATTTTTGTATGTTAGCTCCTAAAAACTTCATTTTTTTTATTTATAGGGGTTTTGTTCTTGGATTACAGCTGCTTTTCGGATGCAGTAAGTATATGAAACAGAAATAGCAAGAGCTGTGGTTTGCTTAGATCTTTTTTAATGTAGAAAGGTGGTTTTCATTCAAAAATGTTGGGGGTTATTTTCACCTTTGAGCAGATAGAATTTTAATACAAGCACTGATACAGGTGTCTCTGGTTGGCTGAAAAAAGGAAGTGAAAACAAGGTCAATTTACAGGAGTACTTTTTCAGGATACAGTTGTCCTGCTAGCAGCTCAGGGACTTCCCAGTCTTAGGACAATGTGTGAATCTGAGTGAATCTATAGCATTTATATGGATTCAGAGCTAATAATTACACTCTAGGATTTTACTCTTCAAAGAGTACCTTGTGGGTGTTCCCTTGTTTGAAGCCAGTAAGGCCCCAGGCAGGCACTGGGATTTCTCTGCAAGGGTTTCTGTGGAGAACGAGTGGTTTAGCTGGGGCTGGAATTGACTAACTAGGGGAAGTCCATCCCAGTGTTTCCCAGAAACAGAATGTTAGACATGTGGTGTGTGTTCTTTATGTGTCTTGGGGCTTAGTAGCTCATGACTTTGAAAATAAATGTCTAGCTTGGATACACTGAAACATGAAGGAGGTGGGGGTTTTAAGCCTGTGTTTCTCCAGTTTTGCTAGTTCAGTTCTTTCCTTTTCCAAGTTCTCCTATTCTAAGGATCTAATCTGCTGAAAGTGGAGAGATGGTGAGACTTTATTCCAAAGCCTTTTATTTCCTTTTACCTGGGTGTCATAAAGAGTGAGGTGGTTTTGTTGTAATTTGCCTCACAGGGAGCCTTTATGGAGATGAGCGAATACTGTCACTGATCTTAAATTTGGAGAGCTAGGCTTGTGACTGGCATAAAGCAGGTCTCAGCAAAAGACTTTGTCATCTTCTAGTCCAAAAGGATTTGGATTCATATTTGCTTTTCAGATTATTGTTGCAATCCTAAATTCCCTAGTGTTAAGTTTTGTATGGTGGTATTGCACAAAAAAATACACTTTTATTACTGGCATTTACACGTGAAAGAACACAGCCATTTTGAAAGCCAGTAGGGATTGATGGGAATGAGGATGTCACCGAGTAGACTGAGGAGTTAATGTGTGTTCATAAACCACTTCCAAGAAGACTAAAAGACATGTGCTTTTCTGTCTGATGCAGTGATGATGAGATTCATGAGAGGTGTGGTGAAGATGCTATACATTACCTCGCCTTCCAGCGTCACATCATCTGCTTGCTGATTGCTATCAGCATTTTGTCCGTGTGTGTGATATTGCCTGTCAATCTATCAGGTGATCTGCTTGGTAAGAATTTATTTTCTTGTATTCTTAGAAGAATTCTTTAGTTTATATAATACTAAAACTCTTCAGACTTTTTTTTTTTTTAAAGCTTATAAGGTGATGTTTTAACCACTGTAGTGGGTTGACTCTGGCTGGATACCATCTTCACAAACTGCTGCACCATAAGTCACTCTTCTACAGGATGCAGTCCCTCATGCACAGCGTGGGTCCCCCAAAGGGTCACAAGTCCCACCCTCTCCAGCATGGGCTCCTCTCTCCATGGGCCCACAGGTCTCTGCCAGGACCTCCTCTAGCACAAGCCTCCCACAAGATTACAGCCTCCTCCCAGGCATCCACCTTCTCCAGTGTGGGTCTTCTCCACAGGCTGCAGGTGGATCTCTGCATCCCCATGGTCCTCCACCATGGGCTGCAGGAGAACATCAGCTCTGGTGCCTGAAGCACCTCCTGCCCCTCCTTCTGTACCGACCTTGGTGTCTGCAGAGTTGTTTCTCTCATATTCTCACTCTGCTCTTCTCTCTCTGCAGTTAGATCTCCACAATAACTTTTCTCTCCTTCTAAAATATGTTATGGAAGTGTTACTATCATTCCTAATTGCCTTGGTCTTGGCCAGCAGTCATCTGTCCTGGAGCTGGCTGGAATTGACTGTCTTGGACATGGGGGAAGTTGGTAGCTTCTCACAGAATCTACCCCTGTACCCCTCCGTTACCTAAACCTGGCCACACAAACCCAACACAGCCCCTCAGTCTGATGTCAAATTTGTGTGATTGTAGCGGGCTCTTTAAACTGTTGTCAGAAACAAGATTGCAGACCTGCAGACACAGATGACAAGACTTAAAAGGCTTAAGGCAGGATTAACTTTATCCATGCCCTCTTACCTGGTATTGATCATTATGTTTTTTATTGGTGGTGATTGTCAATGGAAAACATCTTCACAGCTGAGAAATATTTTTCTAGTATCCAGTCTGAATCTCTTTTGCTTCAATTAATTTAAAATCAATATTTTTGATCTGTCACTGGAGATTATAGATTATTCTTTTCCTCTTTACAAAATTCTTGTAGCTGCTTAAGAATAATAAACATTTTTTTTCTGCTTTTTCCTCTTATAAACAAACCAGTTAATTTGGTCTTTAATGAGAAATGTTCTGCATTTGGCTGATCATAAAATCATCAGCCATGCCTTGAATTTTTGTTTTAATCTAGCTACACTGTCTCTGATTGTTCCTTTATGTCTTGGTTTGTGTCTCAAAATTGGACATATCTTGCAGAGACTTTGTCAATGCTGAGTAGATAAAGTTCATTTCATGTTTCTTGCAGTCTAGTCCTGATTATGTCTTCCAGTGTGGCACCTACAAATACAATAATGATGTCCTCTAGTCTGCCATTCAGTTTGCTGGTGGGAAACCTGAGTTCTTTGAGTGAGATCTCACTATAAATTCTTCCATTTTTATAAATTCTTATGAATTCTTCCATTTATAAATTCATCCATTTTTGATTATGAGTGCTTACAATCCCATTTTGTACCTGGCTTTGTATCAGTCTCTTCAAGATCATGTTTAAAGTATTGTTCATGGTTTTAAGAACATTGTGACATAGCTCTTGTCTGTAATAGGATACACTGTACCTTTTTGTATTGTTTCGCTGTGGAACTTCCATCTCTGACCTCCCTTTTATGAGTGCTTTCTTGGCAATTCTCTGTATATATTAATATCAGCTTTTTATTAAAGCAGGACAATATAGCTTCTGGTTTTCTGCATTAGCCTTTGTGAGTCTAGGAAATACAGCAGAAACCAAAGCTTTAGTATTCTCTCCCCTTCTTCCTCCTCTTGCACTGTAAGCTGATTTTGTGCATTTGAAGTTCTTTCAGTTGTGATGACTTAACTTGCAATGTGGTTTAACAGTCTGGGCTAGAAGGATTGCTTAGCTTTCTAGATACACTTAACTCCTTTTCCTTTGTGATCATTTACTCAATTTTCCCTCACTTGCAGTCAACACTGTTTTGTCAACACTGAATTAATGCAGCTTAAAAGCCTGAGATAAGAAATCAATTAAGATGAAAGAAAAATGTGAAGGAAATTATGTTCAATCCCTAATCAGTGTTGTTAATGGACATGATGGGAGATTGGAGGGCGAAAGGGAACTGCTTCAAAGATCTAGTGTTTAGATTTTCAAAACACTTTACTGTTTTTCTTGATTACTTGAATGTGGTATAATCTAGGGGTGTTTTTTTTCCAACTTTAAAATGCAAGACAGAGTAAACCAGCATTGATTATGATTCTAAATCTTTTTATCAATTAACTTGCTCAGTATTAAAAAGAAATGTAACAACTTCTTTAAAAAGTAGAGTAAAAGCTGACTTTCTGGCAGTAAGTGTTGCACCAGTTAATTTTCCTACTTGTTATTATTCTTCCTAGATAAAGATCCCTATAGTTTTGGAAGAACAACTATAGTAAACTTACAGACTAGGTAAGTCAGTCTTGCAGAGTCCCTCTGTGCTGATGTCTGTTTCCTGCCATGGTCTCTAAACACAAGAATTGGTATTTGCAGCATGGCTCGTGGGGTTGGAGTAACTTAATCCCTGTACATCAACTGCAGCTGGGATGTGTTCTGCTTCAGGCTGTGCACTTACAGTGCTGATAAGAAATCCTGAGACTGGGCTTCTACTCTCTCAGCTCTCACTTCTTACACCACATGTTTCTCTTGGCTAATGACTGTACACCCAGTGATATTATTTTCAGAAATTTCCCCATTAAGGGAAACCATGCTTCAGAAGGAAGGTAAAGCTGATAGCTTTAATGGAATGTGTAGCTGGGGTGATTTAAATTCCCTTACGTTAGATTTATGTGTGTGCATATCTCTCCCATCTAGATTACAATTAAAAATACTTCTATGTGTTTTAAAAAGTCTGTAAAATAGTTGAAGTACAAAGCTGCACAGATCTTCTGATTTTTTTCTTGATCAATCCACATCCATCCCTGACGCTGTGTCCAGTAGAATTTCTGTTTTGTTTAACCATGTTATGAAACCAATTAACTAATGGGGATTTTTTTTACTTTGTTGGATTTTTTTATCTGCAAAATAGGTTCTTGTTCTGAATTTTAGTTCAATTGCAATTATTAATGCCCTTTACAAAATTGAAGAGCTCTTCACAGAACAGAACTTCGGTAAGCTTTGAAGAAGGAGCTGCTAGAAAAGCAGAATTTACTCCCTGTATGAGACTGTTTTCAATTTGAATAATGATTGCAATCAAGGAGAGTTCAATTATGCATTCAGCACAATAAATAATAAAGTAAATAACAAACATTTTAGCAAGTAGCATCATATGTGCTGTAGGTTGCCTGAATGAGAAGGTGAGAGCCAATCACTGCCTAAATATGTCCATGTCATAGAGTATCTTTTTCTTTTCAGCTATATGACCCATAGAATTTTATGATTGATTCATTTCATGAATGAGAGCAAATAATCCTGTTGGCTGTCCAAGGCATCTGCATAGGTGTGACTGACTACCAGTGATTGCCTTTTTTCTTGTTTTGTGTTCAGTGAGAGGTTTTGATCTGATTATCATTTGATAGCTGTTTGTATCAGTTGGACAATTGGTTCTTCCTGTTTCTCATATTCCTAACGTTTTGTCTGACAGCAATAATCTTCTTTGGCTGCACACAGTTTTTGCTGTTGTTTACCTGATTCTGACTGTTGTCTTCATGAGACATCACATGAAGTATGTCACATATAAAGAAGAAAACATAGTAAGTGTCTGTATTGGAGAGAAAAAGTGTATTTGCCAATGCATAATGCTAAAAAAGCAAATTGCTAAGATGCCTCCTGCATGCTAGAATGGCATGAATGCTAGTGACATAAATGTGAAGGAATTGACTGAAAGCAATGCTTTACTGAGTGAATTATGAAAATGGATGGAGATAAGGGGGTTGGGGAGGGATTTGTAAAATTTTGCTGTAACCGGTTACCAGTGTAGAAAGTTCTGTCTTAAATAGATGAGCTTCCACCAAAATCAAAATTACCTACCTTTTTTCCTGCTCTACTGCACAGCTAATTGTGATGTATTTTGGCCTTCTTTATATTCTTGTTTTCTCTTTTGTAAGGTGGTTTATCAAAATGTAATTTGTGTTTTCTTTCCTAGGTTAAATGCACATTGTTCATAACTGGTCTTCCAAAAAATGCAAGTGAAGAGACAGTACAAAACCATTTCACGTAAGTTCCATACTTGAGAAATAATATTAGAGTCATAGAATGGTTTGTGTTGGAAGGGACCTTAAAGATCATCCAGTTCCAATTCCCTGCCATGGGCAAGAACACCTTCCTCTACAGCAGGTTTCTTAGAGCTCCATCCAACATAACCCTGAACACTTCCAAGTATGGGGCATCCACAGCTTCTCTGGGCAACCTGTGCCAGTGCCTCACCACCCTCACAGTAAAGAAGTTTCTCCTAATATCTAAACCTATGCTCTTTCAGTTTGAAGTCATTCCCCCTTATTCTGTCACTACAGGCCCTTGTAAAAAGTTTCTTTCCATCTTTGTTTAGGAATAGGAGATGTAAAATTTTCCTGGTAGTTCTCCCTGCCCAAGTAGATAAGTATTTTGAATTTTGTGCTGTTTAAAATATAGAAAACACTAGATTTCAATGAAGTTAGTTAGCTGATCTTAAAATCAGAGTTTAAGAAAGCGCCTGTGTATCCGCACTTTCCATTCATGCCCCCATACTGCATTTACTCGGAATAAAGCTGTGCATGTCGTATTAAAATAACTTCCAACAACTGTCTGTGGAAGTCTCTGCTCTCTGATAATTTATTCAGAAATTAAATGAGTGATGAGATGTCAGTTAGATACCAGTGCTGCTCTTTGAAACAGTTTCTTCTTGCTTCTCTTTGAAACAATTTCTTCATTGTACTTTCTGTTCTTACTGTTCTTATGTGCTGCTTGGTTTCAGGGATGCCTACCCAACCTGCACTGTGCTGGAGGTCCAGCTGTGTTACGATGTAGCCAAGCTTATTAACCTGTTCAAAAAAAGGTACTTGCTTTTGTTACCTACATGAGTTTAGCTTAATTTTATGGATGTTTTGCTAGTCCTTAATCAACATGTACCTGTGGTACTAACCTGGTGCATCCTAAGGATGGATTCTGCTCTTCAAGTTCTGGTCTGGACTTCAGTTAGATTCAGCTGTGTTTTAAAGCGGTTTATAGGGTTCAGCCCATCTCTTGTTGGTGTGATATGTTGTGTTTTGCCTAAGTTAAGTTTTGACTTGCTGATTATTTATGTATATATATACTTAGTTATTTCTAGACAGGCAGTGCAAAGTGAAAAACTGAGCTATTGAATTAATAACTTTGTTAACCCTGCTTCTTTGGCCAGAGGTGCTGATCACAGGAGAGACAAATGTTATCTTCTGGGCTCTCAAGAATAACGTTGGGTTGTTCTTTTCCTAGAACCTTTTTACAAGTATAGGCTGTATAATGATATTATGGACTTGCAAGTAAATTATATAAGTAACCAAAATAAACTGCAGATAAATATCTTTGATGACTGATTAATTTGCTATCAGTCCTTGGCATAATTTTTTCCTCTCAGGGATTATAATCTTTTTAAGCTTGATGTTGATACTGTTTTCTTGAAAAAATTTATGGATGCATTTTTCTGTGCAGAAAACAGGCAGAAAAAAGCCTGATTTACTATGAACACCTGCATCAGAAGTATGGCAAGAGGGTCAAAATCAACCCTAAACCATGTGGTCAATTCTGCTGCTGTGAAATGGGAGGATGTGAAAGGGTAAGAGGTTGTGTTCTTTTTTAGTTATGGCTAAGTAGGTTATTAGAGTAGAAAACAGTTTTTGTGTCATGTTTCATTGACCTTCAGAAGATTCTTCATTGCCCATAGCTCATCTGCCATGTTCTTATACTGCATAGAAAAGGAATTCCCTGAAACTTTTGGAATGTAATCTTAGCGCACTAGCTGAAGTACAAGAAAATCTTGTTTGTCTTTGCTTTGTGACATGATTTGTAATTTGTGGGAGTGGCAGGAGAAAGGGTGATTATGGTTTGTGTAAGCTGTGTGTTAATGAGGATATTGGCCATCTGGTACCTGCATGTAACAACCATCAATTTCCCCACAGGAGGATGCTGTAGATTATTATACCAAAGTTAGAAATGAACTTGAGGAAGAATATTTGAAAGAGGAACAAGCTGTTCATAATAACCCACTGGGAATGGCTTTTGTAACATTTCAAGAGAAATCCATGGCAACCTAGTAAGTTTTGTCTGTTGTCTTGTTTGTTCTTTTTTTACTAAAATAGTACAGCTGATCTCTTGTTTGTGTCTCTTGTTTGCTTATGTTGGTTCTTCCTTTCTTCTTTTTCACCATTCTGGATTTGCTCTGCTTTGCTTTCTGGTAAGTTTTCCCATAAATGTGTTTTAGCCTCTTTGGTTTGAATGAAGAAATTATCTAAGGGACTAAAAGGCTTGGGACAGTTAATGGGATAAAGAGCCTTTCTCTTCTGTGTGGGATCCATCAGTGTAGGTTAAGGAGGCCAGACTAACTGGTTCTTGAATATCAGTTACTGACATCTCCATTTCCTACTGTGCAAATGGTCCAATTACCAACTGGTCAGAGTGGGTAGAAATTACACTGCCAATTAAGTCATCTCAGCAGTGTAGGGACCTGGCCACAGGTGATAGATACACATATTCTGTATATCTCTTACTTGTTGTTATAGATATATGTGTGGGCCTAATAGAAGGTTTTCTGTGCTTTGATTCAGTCATTTGCAGAGAAAAATGTGTGCAGCCTCTCATGTTCTGTTGGCACTTTGTGAGCATCTTTTGCTAACACAAATTATAATAGAAGAATAGAATATATTATAGAAGAATATTATAGAATATTATATAATATTATATATTATTCTATTATAGAATATAATAGAAGAAGCAGAATAATATTCATATTACAGCATAATACATCATGCTTTGTTCTGAGCCTCTGTGGTTTAAATCATCTACATTCTTTTGACCTTCAAGTCATGTTAGAGAGACAGTTTTTCAGACCATTTTTCAAGGAAGTCCAGAATGTAGGATTTCTTGCAAGAGTTTGGTATATTGGAGAAAGTTTTGCTTGCTGCTCTTTCACTGAGTAGTGACTGTGATGAAATCTGCCTCCTTTCCCAATTTTGTAGTGAAATAACATTTTGAGATGTGAAAATGGAAGAAGGAACGACCACTGAAGTTCCTTCCCTAGCTACTGATGTGTTGCGTACAATTTTGATGGGATAGTTCCTCCTTGAGCAAGCATTCTGAGTTACACTGCAGGCATTTCTGAGTTGAATCATCAAGACCTTAAAATATTTTAGTTTGTTTAGCTTGGAATTAATGTGGTAGACTCCACTCCCTGGGAAATTAGATTAAATTATGTGTGAAGCTGAGGCTCCCATCAAATTAGAAAGTTATTTGGTGGCCTTAGGATGCTCTGCTCTGCAGAGCCCTGAAATAGGATGAGAGAAATAGGATGTCATAAGTGAGGTTCTGGGGACTTAGGTGGTTGTAGAAGCTTTTTAATGATGGCTAAAACTTGCTCTGTATGTATTTTAAAAAATAAACTATCTAAGAATAATCAACTGTCTTAAATGCTTGCTGCTGCAAGATGCTGGCAATCTGACATCGCTGCTTGAATTCTGGTAAGGAAAAGATCTGGGGGGTTGAGGGTTATGTTTGTTAGTTTGGTCTTTGTGTGTGTGTGGTTCTCTGTTGTCTTTGTGTTAAGACCACAACTGAGAAACAAGCATGTTTACAGATTTTAGAATCTCCCCATTTAAATAAAATATATATTGTTTCTATGCTACTGTAATAAAATAGTCTCTGAATGTGTGCCTTTGCCCTTTTACTGCTGTCCTTTGAGAGATCTTTGAAAGCATTTATTTTGGGCATGTTTAAATTTTCTTTAAATATTTTGAATGTCAGTAAACTCATAATATTGGAAGATAGAATTAAGCACTGTGATTATTTTAGGAGTGGGTGAAAGAGGCTAATATTTTGAATTGTGAGAATACCAGCATGCTAAAAATTCTTCTGAGAATTGGTACTCAAGGCAAAATTGGCTGGTTTTGATACCAGTGTAAAACATTAGTCTGCAGTCTCATTTCATTAGTCTACTTTGATTTGAAAACAGCTGTATTATGTAAAAACGTGTTTAGGAAACTGTCTGTCTTTAATTTTTTTCCCAATGCTCTCAGGCTCTGATTTTTTTTTTTTAATATGACTCATTGCTGTTGTTCATGTTGGTAGAAGCAGTAAACAATTTAAACCAAGGTTGCTTTTATTTCCAGCTAAACAGAGCTCAAGCCTGTGGTAGCAACTGTTTATATAATGGTCATTATTGCATAATATGTTACATTATTGTTTAAGTTCTAGCTTGATCACAGGTTACTAAAATTAAGAAAAAAACCCAAAACCTTTATCACTATTCCCAGATTTTCTCCTTACATATTTAACATTTTCTGGTGTAAAAAAAATTGGAAAAATCTTCTTCTTTTTCCTTACAGCATCCTTAAGGACTTCAATGCTTGCAAATGTCAGAGCATTAAGTGTAAAGGAGAACCCCAGCCATCACCCTACAGCAGGGAGCTGTGTGTATCCAACTGGGAGGTTACATATGCTCCTTATCCTGAGAATATCTGTTGGTAAGATTCCTGTTTTACATCCATTTCTTGGTGATAATGTAGGTTTAAAATGGGCCCAGGACAAATAGGGACGAGACTAAACTAAAACTAAAGTTTTATGTAGTGTTGGAATGTGGCTGATCTGCCTCTTTGTTTTCATTACTGGTGTTCTTCATTGACCTTGGGATGTGTGCACATTACTTGGGGTAATGGACTAGAGTTTCTCCACCCCAAAATTTAAAAGTAAACCTAATCCTGTTTATGTCTGTCCCTCAGTGCTTCCATTTCTTGAGGCTAGTGTATACCTACTCTTGAGATCTGAGGAAAGCAACTTGCTATTAGTGCTGAGTATCCTCAGAATATGTATATATTTTTCTGGGTTACCACATGATGAGCATAACTTGATCCACTCTGTAAACTCTGGTCTGTCTTCTTCCTGTTCTTTTCCTTTTCTCCCCTGCTACCTTGAAGAAGAAGGACCACAGGGATATGCCAAGTTCACAAGAAGACTTGTCATAATTTGGGATGTTACTGAGCCTCTGCATCCCTGTTTTGTTTGTTCTGATTATTTGGCTTTTCCTGGCATTCAAATCATTCCAGTCCTTTTGGCAACCATCTCAAGTAACATTTAAGAACTTGTTTAAAATCTATAATTGCTCTTTTAACATAGCAGGAAGGGATGCAGTGTTTACAAATTTGAAATTTTATTTCAAATCACAGTTTTTTTGTAGATTATGCCTCTGATAGGTGTTCTTCTTGCAGAAATTCTGTGTCTTCTATCTCTGTCTCTTCTTGTTCCATTTCTGTTTAGTATTTCTGTGTTATTGAGCAATGGAAGTATTTCATCCGAAACCTTAACTAGATTAGACGTTATGTTTGTGTAGTGAAAGATTAAGTATGTTCTTCTGCAAGTGCAATTTATGTTATCATACAAAAGAGGTTGCACAGTTCTCTTAATTTGTAATAGCAACTGGAACTTGTGTAGTGCTTTGTTATATAACTTTGAAAGCTCAGTTTAGAAAAAGCAATGCCACCTGTTACTTGACAGATAGCGTATATATCTTCTTTTAACAGCAAATGCTTGCTGCTTGTTTTAATGTCTTTTTTATTTTTACTTCTTTCTCCAGGAAGAATCTTTCAGTGCATGGATTGAAATGGTGGTTTAGATGGGCTTGCATTAATCTGCTGCTTTTTATTGTGCTCTTTTTTCTTACTACTCCTTCCATAATCATCTCAACCATGGACAAGTTCAATGTCACTAAACCTATTCACTACCTTAATGTGAGTATTGCCATATGTTTGGATGTAGCTGTGAATCAGGGCAAAATTTTGGTAAACTGATAGTGTTTCATTGTAATACCTTCAGTTTAAATTCCTACCTGACACCTTCAGTTGAAATTCTCAGGACTGTTTTATATAGCTACTGATTAAAACCATAAGTCCAGAATCAGGTCTTTAACCATCTTTTTTTTCCTGGATAATAATCTGAAGTAATTTTTATCTGAGGCTTTATATTATTATAATGTATTTATGTATTTGTGGTAAAAATTTGCAATCCAAACTTACGTAATTCGAAATTGTATAATCAAAAAAATCTTTGCAGAAAATGGAATTTTAAGTCCAACTTGTATTTTGATTTTTATGATAAGAAAGGGAGAATCAGATGTTTAACTCTAAGGTTAAATGCTGTTTTTATTTTGCTTATAGGGTTCAAAGCAAGATGGCTTATATATCTGATCCTAGTTTGACTGCAGCTAAAGCAACTTGCAAGCAGTTTTTTTTAAATATTTCCCCAAGCTAGTGTGAACTACATAAAAACTACTTGTGAGACTGAACTCTCATGGAATTTAATTCCCAGTCTTACTTTTTTGTCTTGCATGCCAGTGCTAAACACTCACTACTTAATTTAAGACTGTCTGAATATAATTTCTCCAGTTCATCCTGCTATAATTTACAAAAAGAAAATATTAGCATCTGTGTTTCACCACAACTGCATTAAAGTGTTCTTAATATTTATTCTTATTTTTTCCCCCCACTAGAATCCTGTCATCAGTCAGTTTTTCCCAACACTCTTGCTCTGGTCCTTCTCAGCTTTGCTACCAACAATTGTCTATTACTCAACTTTGCTGGAGTCCCACTGGACAAAGTAAGCAACATTTTCCTCTGTTTTTTACCTTATCAGCTGAACTACTAAAATAAATGAAAGTGCTGATCTTTCATAGAGCTCTCAAATCTGCAGACTTTTCATAGCAGGGAATTTCCTGTTCTTGTCTCTTTCTGGTTTTATAACCACACTTCAGGGGTTGGGTAATTTGTAACCCACACAGCAAGTGTAATATGACCACATGATTTGCTTATGCTTTCCCCTGTTTAAAGTGATAAATTTTACTCTGTAACTGGTAAACTCTGTAACTGGTAAACTCTCTGTATTTTTGCCAGTTACAGATACAGAGAGTTTACCACTTTTTTTAATCAGAAAAAAGGTGTATGAGCAGGTTCAGGTGTAGCTTCAACAAGAGCATGGGAAGTACCTCTAATCCCATAATTAACTTGCTCCCTGGGAAGACAGTCCATGTGGTTTGGATCTTCTCCAGGCTGATGGCTTATAAAAAGGGCATCCATCTTTTTGTTGTTTGACATTACAAAATGGTCTGGATGTAACTCCTGGTGCACAGCTCAAATCTGTTGGATAGGATGCCTAGAGAGGCTGATCTGGAACAGCAGCTAGGCAGAGTGAGAGGAATAAAGTAGGTATTTATTAAAAGACCTTAAAAGTTACACCTTGGGGAGTACCAGAGCCTGGCCAGGGCTGCACCCAGCATGGACCAAGATGGCTGCAAGATGGATGACCAGTCCCAAGTTTTGGCACTTTCATAAAAGTTTTGGTTCACTTACATATTGGGGTTAATTGTCCAATTACAGCTTCAGGTTATGAAGTCCCATCCTCTTTGTTTGCTCTCTTCAATTCCCCTTTGTTTATACTTTTTGGGCCCCAGGCTGCAACAGTTGTCCTTGGTTCTCAAGCTGGAAAAGGATTGTTTTGTCTACCTACCCCTTGAAGAGATCTTAGTAACACTTCATATGAAGTTCAGAGTTTCACACCAAGGCAGCACAAAATCTTGAAAATACGAAAGCTAAAATTTAAGGCATCATTTCCCCTCTTTAGAGGCTTGACAAGTCCTTTACCTTGTCAAGTCTCTATCCTAAATATCTACTAATAATAGGTAGTAATAATTCATAATTCATAATTCAGAACAGATAACAGATGAGTATTTAACAATAGTAGATTGTAATAAACATCTAACAATAGATAAATATATAATAGTAAATAAATACCTAACAACAGATAAATATCTAATAATAGTAAATATCTAACAGTAAACAGTGGTGATCTGAGAAGACCTATGTGGCCAAAGGTCCAGTAGATGTGTTGATGCAAGGTTTTCACACTGAACTCTGGTGCACCCTAGAGATGTCAAGCCCACTAATGCGCTGCTGACTTGAGAGAGAACTCAGAACTCAGCACAGCTTGGTTTGGAGTACCAGATTTGATGCCCTGTTTACCTGATCACAGATAAAAGTGTGGTAGTTCACATTCAATCCCATCTTCACTCAACTTTTCTCAGTCTTTATCCATAAAGCTTGTAGTCATTGTTTTTATATTCTGAAGTAATTTTGGTGGTTTTCCTTTTGAATTTTTGTACAATTCCTTTCTAAGACACCGTGTCCAGAGTCTGCTGTTTATTTGTCACAGTTGTATGCTTTGCATCAACTCTGTTTTGGTAGCTGTGCTACACACATGAGCTTTGACCCCTTCTCAATCAGTTAAAGTAATTTTCTGAAGTCACTAGAGATCACAGGTCTGATTTCAAGCCTCGGTGTAGTTACACTGATAGGTCTCGCAGTGCCCAAGTGTTCCTGTAATAAAACCCCTGTGATTTTAAAGCCCTATCAGATACCACCTCTAAGAGTCTGAAGTGTTCATAGTGCTGCCTTTTTCTGGCAACAGAGTGTCACTGGATCCGTGTCCCTGCTACTGTAGTAGGGGTATAGCATTAGTAGTGTCATGTTGTTCCCCAAGAGTCGACACTTGACAGGGAGGTTGTCTAAGTATCTGATTGCCTGGCAGCAGTGCCCTTTTCTGAACTGCTTAATCCTTCCTGGCATGACACTTGGAGAGCTGTTTGTTTACAAGCTGTTGCAAGATTGAGTGTCTTTGGGTGAAAGACCAGCTGTGCTGGTCGCACATCCCCGTGCATGTTGTGCAAACCTGTAGTGATGCTCATCCAGAGTCTGGATTAACATTCAGCAATATTTTTGTTGCCCAAGAAGACACTGAAAGTCTGCTTGGTCCATATTGGTGAATATCTCAAAGTTGTTTGGTTTTTATCTGGTAGCAATGTGATACAATAGGGAAAGCTGGAAGTCTGACAGGTGCTGGCATTGTCCAGGAAAGAGCCTTCATATGTGGCAGCTTTTTGTGTGAGTTTCTTACTCAGTGCCTTTTTATGTTGATAGATCTGCAGAGAACAGAATAATGATGCATAAAGTCTACATATTTTTGATCTTCATGGTATTGATTCTGCCTTCCCTTGGTCTGACCAGGTAAAGAATTATAGTTTAATGAAATAATGGCTGAGTACTTCTATAATGAGACATCTTGTGTTTTCTAGTTGTGACATATAGTCCATGTACCCTCTCTCCAGTGTGTGTGGTTATGTTATCATTACATTAGATTTCAATGTTCATTTTACATCTGGGAACCTCAGAGCCCTTAAAAGTTTCTGAAGCCTGTCTTTTCTTTTAACAAAAAAGTTAAGACCTTGTGAGATCAATGGCTCATTAAAAGTTGCCCATACTCACCATTTTAGCTGAGAACCAAGTTTCCTGTGTCTTACACTTCAGTTGGAGTTGTCCTTTTTTTTTTTGCACCTTTACAGTTTTTGGTTGTTTCCCTGGGTGTCATGTATTTGTCCTATTTGTATAATAATTGCTAAAAATGAATCATTAAAACTTTAATATGAAGTAGATGTTTTTGTTCTGTTTCATTTTGTACCATTTTTCTTATTTCTAGCTATCCGTAACTTTGATAAAATGTTCAGATTATTTGATTAAATTCTCTCTATCCACTGTCTTGATTTAAGCTGCTTAAAAAGAGAAGCAATTTTAGGCAGTACTAAGGTGTGGGAGACTGAATTGCATTCACCATCTTCCTTTCAGCCTTGATTTTTTTTTCCGCTGGCTGTTCGACAGAGAATCATCTGATTCTGCAGTTAGGCTGGAGTAAGTATCAGCTAAATAATATTCTCTCTTTGCTATTCCTTTGTAAAGGAATACTTAGGACTTAAAATGTTTTTTGCTGTTTACTGTCATTGGTTAGTGTTTATTAAAGTTTTCTCAGGGTTGCTACTCTAGGATGATGTTGAGCTTCTGAATAAGGGGAGGAGACAATAAGGTTGGACACTAGAAAGAATTTCTTTACAGAGAGGATGACAAGATATTGGAATTGGATGAGGATTGTTGCATATCATGGACAGGGGATCTTCACAAGGATTACAGTGAGACAAAAGAGCTGCAGCAGTTCTCTTTCTGTAATCCAGTGAATCTTGATTTTAAGAAAAATGTATGTTTTTACACACATTACATTGCAAATTTGCACATATTGCTTATTTTAAGCTCTTGTGCCTGTGCCTTGAAGGAAAGAATAGAATGCAATTATTTGGACATAGATTTCCAAATGCTGTTTCAAAATCAGTAATAGGAAGACAATTAGAAGTTACCAAATTAGAAAAGATAATTATTCTATTGCAGTCTTATCTCATCTTGTGTCAGGTTGCTGTTGCAGACATTAGATGATGATCTTGTCTGCTCTCAGCCACCCATCAGGCTGCTGCATCTTTTTGTGAGCAGTTTATTCCTCATCTGAATTGCAACTCAGACTCTTACATACTACCCTGGCTGCATTCATAGCTGTGCACTATTGTTTTACAACAAGGTCAGCAGAAGTTCTGGCCACTTCTTAACATATATAGTGCTTATTCTTACGGTAAGAGATTTCCAAAGGCAATAGAGATGAATTGTATGCCTCCAATGTTTGCTTGCCTTCCTCCCAGTCAGTGTCTGGTGTCTTTCCTGGCAGATGTGTCTTCCTGCCTGACCAGGGAGCCTTCTTTGTGAACTATGTGATTGCCTCTGCTTTTGTGGGCAATGGGATGGAGCTGCTGCGCCTGCCAGGCCTCATCCTTTACACTATACGCATGATCATGGCCAAGTCCACAGCAGAGAGGAAAAACATCAAACAGGTATTGGAGCCCCTCCTTAGCAGGAGGCATTTCGATGACTGATCCTTGTGAGAAACAGTGGGAGCAACCATCCTTCATACCATTAACTATAATTTTCTGATTTTTTTTTTTTTTTTTTAGCCTTTGTTTCGCTTGTCCATGACAGGTTCATATTCCCTTCATTCACAGCACAGATAACAGGGAGGGATTTATTCCAGTCAGAGACAGTCAAAAATCAAAACCCAAGCTCTGAGCTTCAGGTATCAATCTCTTCATAGCTCTAAGTCAGAGTTTTATGATTTGGATTTTATAGAATAGGTCTGATTTTATCTTACACTCTGAACTTCAGGGGGGTTTTTATTCAAATCTGTCTAGAGTTAGTTTCGTCTGTCAGCCATCAGGTGTGTAGAACTTGCTTTAAACTGAACATGCACCTAGCAAAATATATATTTTTGCCTATATTCTATTTTAAGAACAGGACTTCACTTCCAGGTGAAGTGTCATCCTATAGCTTGAAATTCCAGGTGTTACAATGGGATCTTAAGCCTGTATACAGCTCCCACAGTGAGGTGAAGATTCTGAGATGGCACAATTATTTTCTGTCTTTGGATTTTAAGGAGCTGCTTCTTACAGATGCAGATTCCCTGAGAAATTACTTTAAGCCTAGGAAAGAAACAGCATCTTTTCTGTATGTCCAAGTAATAAATACACAAAATGCTTCATCTAATTACATAATTTCTGCCTCTTAGGGAAATAACTGATTTCTCAGGGGGAGTGAATAAGAGAAGATGATTGTTGCTTTAGTGAATCTATTCTTAACTCCTGACATATTGATGGATGACTTGAGAGTTTTGGGTGTTTTGTTTTTGTTCCTAGCAACAGGCATTTGAATATGAATTTGGAGCAATGTATGCCTGGATGCTGTGTGTGTTCACTGTCATCATGGCCTATAGCATCACGTGCCCCATCATTGTCCCTTTTGGTGAGTTTTCCAGTGAGCACTGTGGGAGTGAGATGGGGTATGTGGAAAGTTTGGAAGGCCCAGCTCTGCATTCTTATTCCTGTTCAAATGCTGATAATCCTTAGGACTTGGATCCAAGTTTTTCCTTCCCTTCTTGCAGAAGAACAGTGAAAAATATTATTAATTACTTAGCTCTTGTACTGCCTTTAGAGATTGAAATTACATTTAATGTCTATTAGATGTTTATTTTATTTCTCAAATTTGATAACTGGCTTTAGTGGTGAGGGGTTTAGATCAGACATAAGTAGTAATAAGTAATTTTATATAGTTGGTATTTTCATTTTCTAATCCAAAACTTTACAGAGCTAGATACAAGATAATTATCTAAATTAGATATTGTTCAGAACTGGTTTAATCAACAACCTTATTATTGGGAGAATGTGGCCAATTTTTATGTAACAATGTAATTGATATTTACTTACATTCTGTTTGTGTGCAGTTGTAAATATCTGAATGTGCCGCTGCATCCCAGAGCTGTTGCAATTCATAGCTGCCACAACAGTTGCTGGCTGTTCGTTTGGATAAGGAATAGCTGACTTGAAATCCAGTCATGAATCTGGTGAAGGCTAAGACAGAGATGTTAAGCCACTGTCAGGTCTTCCTTACCAGCACAGTGGAAGGGGAGTTGGGAAGCCTTCTCTACTGGCTTGGCCTCATGTGCCAGCACCCAGAAGGAGCTCTGGGCTCTCCCTGGGAGCACTAGAGGCACCAGAGAGAAGTGTGTGGAGAGGGGAGGGATGGAGGTGCAACAAGCTTAGGAGTAGGCGCTGTCTTGCAGCTGTACCCGCCTCATGTCTGGGGGGTGAGTACTCACCTGGCTAGTGTAGATCTCCTCACAGAGTTTTGCTGCTTTTTATCAAACCTCTGACAGCCTCTGCGTGGCTCTCCTGTTTTCCCTGCCAGGTTTGATCTACATCCTCCTGAAGCACATGGTGGACCGTCACAACCTCTACTATGCCTATCTTCCTGCCAAGCTGGAGAAGAAGATGCACTTTGCAGCTGTCAACCAGGCTCTGGCAGCTCCTATCCTCTGCCTTTTCTGGCTCTATTTTTACTCATTTGTGCGGCTGGGTAAGTATTACCTGTTTTAACCTGGAAGCTGCTCCCAATGCTCTTGCCAGCTTCCCTGAATTAGATGTGAATTTTCATAAGCTTTTTGGGCTTTTATTTTTTCTTCTCTAAAGAGGAGATCATGGTGGTTGCCTGTGGCACTGAACTACACAAGATTTGCACAAGAGCCTTTGACAGAGATGGCTGATGTAGTAAACTATTAGCGTGGGGCTCCATATTCCTTCATTTCAAAGAGATTGTGAATTCCTCAAATCAGTATACCTGGAATTGGCCAGTTGGGCTGCAAAGTGACAGACAGTGAAGATCATTGCATAAAACAAAAATCTATTTGTATTAAGATGGTCACTGGCTTCACTACCTGCATTCATGTAGCCTGGGCATAAGTTTAATTTACCTGGGTGAATTGGCTGCTGTCTCTGTTATACTGCCATCACTTAGGGAAAAATGCTAAAATGTTGGCTGATGCTAGTCCTTGTGTATTCTACATCATCCATCAAATTTTACATGGAAGACTGCAGTGAGCTGGTGACTCTCTTCCACACACTGTAGTTTAAAACCTCATGTTTTGTATGTAATTTATCTTTAAAACAGGGACATTCTGTGTTTAGCAAATAATTGGCATTTATAATATCAGCTGTTCTGTACTAACAGCTTTGATGCCAGAAAAGGTAGGCAACAGCTTATAGATTTTTATCAATACAGGAGGAGGCATATGACATGGAATGGGGATTTCACTGATGCTGGAAGGGTTGGGTTCCCCTTCTTTGGAAGGAAGCTCCTGATAGCTAACTCAGTCGTGCCCTTATGGCAAATGACCATGTTTGCATTGTATTTCCTAGTGTACCAATCGTCAGAAAGGGATTGTTGGCTGGCTGTCATCCAACTTCAGGGAGAGATAAAGTTATAAGGAAAGCTCCCTGTAGATGCAAGAGGCACTTGGAACTGTTGCTTTAGAACTTCACTTTGTCCTTGGATTTGCATTGATGCTCCTGCATTACTTGTATGTTTAAGAATTTGTTTTTTTCCTTTGTTTTGTGAGCTGTTTTCTTAACCAGGAAGACCAACAAATCTGGGTCCTCTAAATTATCAGGAGAATTTCCAGAACATGCTTTAGAAAAATCAACTCCAAGCACTTGGCATCTGATGCACCTCTTTAATTGTTAGGAAGGAAATCCTAGTGAAGTAAAAATTAAATCTGTATTATAATGTTTTCTAGTTTTGCATGGTAAAACCATCATTTGTCAGGGACCTTAATAATGGAAAACACAGACTAGATTGCTGTGTTTGGCTTGGTCAGTGTAGAGGATCCTCTTTACAGGATCTTGTTCAGTGGTTTTTCAGTGCACAGGGCAGTCTGAGAGGTAGGGATTTCATACTTTGATTTCATTCCCATTGATTTCATAGCTGCTTCTTGTGCCAAAAAGAAGGAAGGAAGAGTAAGAGTGCTTTGCTTCCTTATCTGCAAAATAGATCAGTTTATGGTGTAAAGCTTGGTTGCTTGGTTATTGTCTTGTACAGTTTGCTTGATATGGGTGTTTCAGTCTGGTTGCAGAGTCCAATATACAATATTTTGGCTTCTCATTCCTCACATATTAATGTAAGGCAGGAAAGACCTCTCCCCCAATTCTCAGTCAGGATCAAAAATCACCTTACTACATATAGAAGGTGGGAGGCTGTACTCATCTTTTTCCTTCTGTGTTCTTTCTCAACTCTTGTGCTATCCATGCATCCATGCATCCATCCATGCATCCATCCATCCATCCTACACCTCCAGCACCACTGGGCCTCTCACCACAGAGGAGGTGAGGTTCTATCTGCAGTTCAACCCCGTATCTCCTGGGACAGTCACTTAAATCCCATGTTCTCCAGAGCTGTTGGCAGGCGGGAGTTCAGAGGACACAGTGCAGGGGAAACTGGTATAGGAGACTTTTCCTTCCCAAATCTCTGCTGTTTGCCTTGTGGTTTGCACCATACATTGGCACTGGTGTAGACACACCTTACCATCTGGTAAATACTCATGTAACCTGTGCTTAGAAAAACAACCTCCTCTGAAGGACACTCCAGAGTACCCCTAGGGAGGGTTTTTCACTTCATTTCTTGGTTTGAACAGTGATGTATTTATAGGGCTTTTTTGGTTTTGTTTTTTGCATGTGTGAGGTGTTTTTCCCCTTGTGAACAGACCTGTGCAGGGCTTCTATAACCTGCTAAAGTGTAAAACTTCTCTATTCTGTGCCACTGCACGTGCTGGGGTTACCATAAAAATGTCTGAGGGTTGGTGTTGCCTCTTTTGTCTGGAGAAGCTTGGAAACAGATATGGGTTGCAATGGCGTTTACTTTTTCCTAATATCCTATTCAAGTAATCCTTACTGCAAAATGAGATTAATTTCTTTAGAATATTTCCCTAGTGGGTCTGGAAAAGAAGAAGTCACTATAATCTTTAATACCTTTTCCATACTAGGCAACCATGTCCTTTCCTATAGTTTATTGCACTCTCTCTGAACTAAAACTTACCTGTCAGCCTAGTTCATATTTACATTTTCTTCTCTTGATCTTTTTCCTTGGATTCTTCCCAGTTCTGTCCGTATTTTATTGTACACAAGGCTACCCAGCTGAAGGCTTAGTAGCACTGAATTATTTTGTGTAGGTGCCAGAGACTTGTCTTTTTTTTTTTCCATTTTCCCCTTTTCCCATGTTCTTTGATACCATCCCACTACTGACTGCTTTTCAGAAGTTGTAAGCAGCAGTGCTACTGTTATTCTCATATCTGCATTTTATTCTTCCTTCCAAATTGTACTTATTTTCTGTTTTCTACGTACAGTTTTATCTTGCTGTTGCTTTTGGGTGTTTTTTGTTTGTTTGTTTGTTGGTTTGGGTTTTTTTGTTTTGATCCTTTAAAGCAGGTGGGGTGGTCTAATCTACCAAGATCATTTTGATTCTCCTCTCCCCCACCTCCATCCCTTTGAGCTGATGGCAAACCATCCAATTTTGTGCCATCATCATAATTAATCAATGTAATTAATATTGTATTTCACAGATCATTAATGAAAGTATTTAAGAAGTGGGTTCTGAATGGATGAATGAGGGAGGAGAAGAATCACTCTGAGTCTTGTCTCATTTAAGTATTACAGCAGCATTTTTTGGCCTCTAGGAAAAGTGGGAGAACTTGGTATATGATGACATTATCCTGTTTGTGGCTGGAACTGGGCTGCCCATTCCTCTAAGGAAAAAAAATCCATGAGGCTTCTGAAAATGAGGAGGACAAAGACTTCTTTTGGTTTTGTTGGGTTTTTCTGCAAAGCATTTTTATATTGTATTCTCTGGATATTTTTCTAGGTTTTAAAGCACCTACAACCATGTTTACCTTGCTGGTTGTCAACATCACTATTGTTATTTGCTTGGCTTACACTTGTTTTGGCTGTTTCAAGTACCTGAGTCCACTGAATTATAGGGTAAGTGATGGACACCTGACTTTACAGCACCTACCAGTGTGCTTGATGGAGCACCAGCTATTCCTGCTGGGTTGTCCCTGCCTTCCTGCTTGTAGTGTTTGTTCACAAAAGTTCATGGTAAGATGGCTGAAGAGGGCCTGTAGTACAGGTAGGCTGCTTGGCAGAGTGGAAAATCTGTGTCCACAGGAACTGAATTTGAGAAAAAAGGGCAGTATGGAAAAAGTATCCTGGGCTGCATCCCCAGCAGTATGGCTGGTTGAGGGAGGGGATTCTGTTCCTCTGCTCTGGAGAGACCCCACCTGCAGTGCTGCATCCAGCTCTGGGCTCCCAGCACAGGAAGGACATAGACCTATTGGAGTGAGTCCAGAGAAGACAACCAAGATGATCAGACAGAAGGAGCACCTCTGCTATGAGGCCAGTCTGAGAGAATTGGGGGTGTTCAGCCTGGAGAAAAAAAAGCTCTGGGTTGACCTAACTGGGGCCTTCCAGTACCTGAAGGGAGCCTACAAAAAAAGATGAAGACTTTTTACAAGAGCATGTAGTGAGAGGACAAGGGGAAATGGCTTTAAACTGACAGTAGGTTTAGATTAGGTAATAGTAAGAAATTCTTCACTGTGGGGTTGCTGAGGCACTGGCACAGGTTACCCAGAGAAGCTGTGGATGCCCCATGCCTGAAAGTGTTCAAGGTGGATGGAACTTGGAGAAACCTGGTCTTAGTGGAAGTTGTCCCTGCCCATGGGACAGCTTGGAACTAGATGATCTTTAAGGTCCCTTCCAAGCCAGACCTTTCTATGATTCTGTGTAGAAGGATTTGTGGAGAGTGTCAGCACAGCACTGAGATCTGTCTGTGCAGGTTTTGGGTGCTCATGATCTGTGTGTGTTGTCTTCACTCACCAGTTTGATGTTTTCTCTTTCTCTTTCCCCACCTATTGCTGGTTACAGATTGAAGACACACAAGGTGAAAGAGGAAAAGACACAGATGTACCAACAGTCCCAACATCTTCTGTAAGAAGCTAAGAGTTACTAATATTCCCTTATGCTAACTAGAAAAACTTAATTTCTCACTCTGCTTACCAAAGAGCTTGTGTAGGACATACTAGTCTGAATGGACTGTGGGATTTCCCACGTGCATGTGGGACCAGAGAGTTCTGCAGCTGGGCTCCTTGACTGCTCCCAGGTGGTGTTCCAGAGGTACCTTCGGCTGCTGTTTTAGGAGTAGCTGAGACACACTGCTTCCAGCAGCTCTGTGCACTGTGTTCTGTGCCCTGCCCCAGACAGGGCCTCACATCTGGACAGCTGCCAAACACAGTTGCCACTGCTTCGATTCTGAAAGTTGTGACGTGTAGCAGGTCTTGCTTGCCATGTCACCGAGAAGGATGTAGGATGGAGGTAGAAGGAAAAGCCTTTGGCCTTCGTGCCACAGTCAAGAGGTGCAGGTGGGTGTTGCACCAGGAAGCCTCCAGCAGGGTGCAAAAGGCCTGAGGTGTTAAGGTGAAGAATGGGAAAAGGATGAAGAGTGACAAGGGGAAAAATTCTCCTGGGTGAGTTATCCCAGCACTGTGCTTTGAGAGACACTAAAACCCTTCACTTGTGATTTCAGATGTACGTCCCTCAGGTTTTACGTCCTCATCCTACTGAAAGGACGGTGCTGGCCCCCACGGAGCAGCAGTCATATGGCACCATGGACAACACTTGTTCCCAGGCAGAAGGAATCAGAAGCTACGCCACTGGATCTGCAGTTGTGGAGCAGGCAGGGGGAGCTTCGCCCTGAGTGCCGAGGACGAACACAAGGTGGAGCACTTGGCCCAGGTTTAGCAGAACTAATTCCCTGCCACCTCCTACTAAGTATTCGGTGTTACCTATGTATTCCTGCCTGCAGAAGAGGTACAGAAATAATTCATTGTGTGGTCTGCAGCTGTGCTGGGAGATTAAAAAGCAGATGCCTTGGGACTGATTGTTTTCCAGGCTGTCTACACACATTGTGAAACAAACAATTTGAACGTGGAGATGTTGATCCTCAGGGACTTCACTTTTGCTATCTCATCACTTGCCTTATGAAGATAACTTATGCTGCATACAGATAACTAGTCACCAAAGCCAATGCAACTATTAGAGCTGTCATTTATTTATTCAAAATAATTCTTCCCTTTTTAAAAATCCCCAACATTTATTATTTATAAACCTCTTGGGATGTGTTAAATCCTGAGACAATGCCACTTTTGATGAAAATACTGTTTGTGTGGGTGCTGAGAATGGTGTGTGGGAGTCTCTCCTCTTTTCACCCAAAGTAGTCAGCATAGTTTTGATCATGTTACTTTTTTTTTTTTCCTTGAAAGAGATGAGGGAATTACTGTGCACTCGGGTACTAAAAGTACCAAAGCAAAAAGACTGGTGTAAAGAAGGGCGTGATTTATCTGATACTGTTTTTATATGTTTTTGGAGGGCATTTAGGTTGTTAGTTTCTGTTCACTATTTTTAAGGGCCTTCCACAGTGAAAGTTCACCTGCCAACAATAAAGGATGTAAACATTTTATCTCTTTTAGTCTTGGGTTAAAATGACAGGTATCCGGGTTTTCTCTATAGTGCCAATTATATGAGTTGTAAGATACTAAGTTTTTAAATTATGTAGTAGGTGCTAATCTATTCTGAAGTGCAATGTGCGAAAGTGTAACTAATAATCATGGAGCAATAAAATACTGAGTTTAGAAAAATATCAGGCTGTCTTGATTTATTTATTCTTTTCCTTGTGTGTTGAAACAGTCCTTTTGCTGGCTGCCTCACAGCATGGTCATGAACTCTTCATAAAAGCACTGCCACAAGCCTTAGAATGACAGTATGAGGAATTTGAATACTTTTGGATTTCTCTAGGGGATGAATCTTCGTGACCTATGGGTAGGAGAAGCTTTTGGTCCTCTGTTTCTTTGCTTGTTGTTAAACTGTTATTTCCTGAATTTGACCTTTTCTAACATGTCTGTAAGCAGCAATCTTGAGATTGAAGGAGACCTTGTGCCATAAGTGTGTGCAGATGTTCAGTGTCTTGCAGGACTGCCTCCAGCTTCCCAAGAACAGCACTCAGACAAGTGCTGAGCATGAGACCTGCCCGCTGCAAGAGGATCCTGTGGACCTCTGAGCCCCATTCCCACCCTGTTAGCTGAAGATGCACCTTCTGGTTCTTAAAAGGCAGGTGAGAAGCCTTGTCTAGTGAGGGGGGCATGAATTTGTCAGACTATTTTATACTCTCACTTCAGTGGTGCAGTTTAGTCAGGGTTTTGTGCATGTGTGTGTTTATGCATTTTGATTTTTAGCAATCATGGCATTACGATGTGGTGTGTACCTTGTGCACACACTGCCATTCCAGGTTGGTGTTCAAACCAAAAAGCCAGAAGAACCCAACAGACTCCACGTATTGTACTCATCTGTGAGTCTCATGCAGATGTGAGGACACAAGGAGGAGGCAGTTTGTTGTGTTAATTAGATCAGAAGCCTGTGATTGTTCTGACTCATTTCTAGCTGCTCTACCCCATCTCATCCAGGTGTCTGCAGCAGCAATGAATGCTTATGTGCGTGCTTATTGAAGAATCAAATAAATCATTCAGCTACCACACTTGACCTGTTTACTGTGCTGGTGCTGTGGGGGTTTTCTGCTCTGTGATATAACGCACTTTTTTGGACAGATGACTTTTGATAATCACTGTGAGGTTCTATGTGTTATATTGAGGACAAAACTCCTTTAATGATTTGATTTCCTTTTTATGCCTGGGAGGTTGTTGAACCTGGGTGGTGACATTCCTTGTGGCTGGCAGAAGTTCAGCATAGGCAGGGCAATCTCTCCTGTGAACTTGAATAAACCCACCTCCAGTCATGCTGAGGTGCTTCGCATATAGAATATAGAAAACCTCCAAAGTAATGGAAAGTTCCATCTTGCTAAAAAGTCATTGTTGGCATTTGAGGAACCAATTCATGTGTCTGATGGGGAAATCACCTGCATATTTCACTTACTGTGTAGCAGCAATTCCTCTTTGTCACTGTGCTCTGTTGCAGTTAAACTCATAAAAATGTCTATGGTATTAGGGCAGGCACCAGTTGGAGAAAAGTTCAGGGTCACCTATTAGTAAATTATCACAAGATCTGTGTACAGCAACACACAAATTATAGGCTGGTTTAGCATCTTTGCTGTATTGTGCTTGCTTCACTATTATCTTTTGGGTTCCTCTCTGAGAACTGGAAGTAATTAGGAAACTGCCCTGGCTCTACTTCATTCCTTCATGCTGGTGGATATCTGGGAGGGGATAAAATTAGATCAGCAGGAGAAACTCCTTGCATTCCTGACTGAGCCTTAGAGAAAAGCTGAGGGATGGAAGCCTCAACAAATGTGGATATTGGCTGCACTGTATTTGAAATTCATATTTAAAGCCGTGGCACATTCTTTACTGTTCTTTTTATAAACCTTTTGGCAGGCAGCCTAAGCAAATGGCCCAGCTGGAGTTGCTGATTGTGGCTCCCAGAAGCCATATTTGTTGAGATCCAGCGCCTGCTGCTTGCCTTGCATTGCTCAGTTGGAGCAGTGCCTCCCCCACCCTGCTCCTTGCTAAGTCCTTCCCGACATTCCAGCAGCCGCCTCCAGCAGTGCTCCCGGCTGCAGGAATCCCGAACAATCTGACACTCTCCCTCCACAGGAGGAAGCCCCAGAGCGTGGTCTGTGATGGGATTCTCTGTGACACAGCTGAGGGGGGCAGCCTCTGACATTTTGAAGGATGGAGCTCATTTGATACTGTACAGGGCACACCTCTGCAAAGACTTCAGGGAAGATGAATTTTTTCCAGAGTGAGGAAAATGCTGCATGGTTTGCTGAAGCTCAGAATCCTTGGCTTGCTTGAATACATGGAGCCCTGTGCCAGGATTCTGTGTGCCAGGCCCATCTGGCTCACCTCCAGCCCTCTTACAACACATCCTCAACACACAGATTATTGCAATTTCTCATTTGCATTAGGTGCACACGTTCATGCTTTGTTTTCCTCTGGGCTTTTCCCATATCCTGAGCCAAAAGCAGATCTTTGTGCTGGCTAAGTTTTTACAAGTGCTCCAGTGTAGCAGTAGGCCATGTTCTTTCTGGCTCTTTACAGAGGTCCAGTTCCCAGCTCTGCTTGCCCACACATGCTGGCAGCACAACTGAAGCTTTCTTGTATCTGTTCTACAGATAATCTGGTTCTGAGTGTTTGAAAGCCTTTTACTTTTTGAAGCCTTCTCTTCAAGAAGGTGGGCTTGTCCCAGAAGCAACAGGCTACAGAGTTTTCACCTGGCTTTTAGCAAAAGTGAGGTGAGAGGCAGAAGATTTGGGGAGAAGAGTTTTATCCCAAGTCTATTGATTACAAAGAAAAGACACCCTTTATTGTCTCAAAACTCCAACAATATAATGAAATGCACACTTTTAATTCCAAATGATGGCCAGGGTCAGGTATCTTATCTGACAGTAGTCTTGCAAATTCCTTCTTTGTCTTATCTAGACAAGACTTCTTGAAGGAGTCTGCTTGTCACCTGTCTGTAACAGCTGCAAGTTCCTGTTTCAGATATTTCAGAAGTACAGAATTTGTTTTTTTTCTTTCTGAGGACAGCTGTCTGAAGGATAAAAACAGAAAGGAAGCAACTAAAAGTGGAGAGACTGAAGACTGGGTCATGATAATGGAACATTCTTCCCTATAATTTTTTGGATCTTGAGTGAAGTCATGGCATTTGCTCTGTATCCCACATCCTGTTGGTTAGAACAGAGCATCTCAGCTGCAGCCAATACAATTTCAAGTGGAAATGGGTGGGACTGTAAATAGCCAAGAAGGAGAGAGAGAAATGTTTGTATCTGCTCCCAGACTGAGTGGTTAACTAAGTGCTGGTTAATAATTAATGAAAGCACTCTTCTCAGAAGTGATGTTGAAGGTAAGAGTTCTAGAAATCCAATGTATGGTATGTCATAAGGTGCTCCTAAATAAAACAGGAGCCAGATTTTGTTGCTGTCTCATCATTACTGCTGTGTGATTGTGAATCTCCCATTTTTATGCAGTGGCCCAAAAGGGTGAAAGTGTGTGATAGAAATTAGGGGCTGGTTTTGAAAGGTACCTATCTGTTGTGTTTCTTAGATGTTCATAGAAATAAAAAAAATAAAAAAATTGCAGTACAGGAGGAAGACTGAGAGCTGAGGAAATATAAGAGAGATGTATTTTTGTGCACAGCTGGCCTTCCTTCTGCATGAAAATCCTTAATGCATTTGGTGCTGGTTTGTGCTTGGATTTTCAGACTGACTGGCTTTTTTATAGCCTGCTCTCCTGAAATGTAAGGCACTGAGTTTCTTCTTTCAAGTGAAGATGATCCATGTCAAAACTTATTTGGAATTCTAAATAGGCTTTTTCCCCTAAGGCAAATTATCAGTATTTTTTCCCCTCCATCTACAGACACAGAGAAATAAAATCAGCAGCTATCTCTACAGATAAAAATGGAAAAAAAAACCCCAAGTGATTTAAAGAATTGCTAAGTACCATAATTAGGTTGCAGGCATTGAAATTCTTTATGATAGAGTTCTAGATTTAGAGAATGAAGTAGGGTTTTCTTGTCCTTTTATATTTTAAATCTGTAACTTCAAAAATATTCCTAAATTAGGAGGAATTAATTCCCTTTTGAGATGAGGAATCAGAATCTGCTGGCAAGAAAAGGGCAAAAATGGAGAAATAAATCACTTGAGCGCACCTTTAACAGGAATAATTTAAGTTATTTATCTTCAAAAAGAAAAAGAGTGGAGAAGGTAGGAGAATGACATAATCTGTGTTCTGCAGTGGGTTCTTCAGCTCAGTTTGTGTGAGATGCTGCTTAAGAACTGTTGGTTCTTTGACTGGGTGCTTGACTGGAATTTGTCCCTTCATGTTTCTGCTCATCTCTTCCCTGTGCTGCACTCCCTCTGATCACCTGCAGTGGTTTGAACTACTGCTGCAAAGGATTATCTTTCATTTAAGAAGATGATGAAACTCATAATTTAAATATCTTTTATTGTTCATCATATCCTCAAAACCGCAACATTCAGTTATTAAACACGGGGAGGGTACAATCACCCTCAACATCTTTAAATCCAGTCAGGAAGGTATTTGGAAGCCTGGGGTTTGGACTACACCTAGCCAGGGGAAGGAGCTGTCACTCAGCACAGAACTGTTTATAAATATCTGCTCTCCAGAAGACAACTGACAATTGTAATGGGGCTAATTCTTCTAGCAGCACTGGCATAACACCATCAGGGCTGTCTGGCGCTGCACAGGGTATTTCTTCCATGAAAGAAAACTAATCCTGAGCAAGACAGTTTTAGTGTGACTTATGTTCCTTGAAGTGCTATTACAGCAAGTAAAACAAGCAGTATCATTTCTCAGTGTTTTAAAATAAGCTACACCGAAATCAATATGGATTTATTCCTTGTCTCTTTCCACAGCACCCAGAAGGAGCTTTCCACTTCTCTTTGACAAAAATGTATCTTCATTTAGTGCATATTATATATTGCACCTGCTGTAAAACAGAATTGTTAAAATCATTAAATGATGGTTTTGCTTCCTTTTTCTTGCAAAAGTGTGATTTCTAATCATATTTTTTTCCATTCACGACCTGAGTAATGCCTGACTTTTTTGTTTAATGTATATAAAGTCCTGTCTTGTTGTGTAAAATGTCCAAAGGCTGCATATGGTGACTTGGGTTTTTCAGGACATTATAGTTTGCAGTTTAAAAATCAGAAGTCAAATTTGGTTGTAGTGGGAGTTTGTTTAGCTGGAGCTGTATGAGAAGATTATGACCTTACTTGTATTTTTCCATACCAGAAGCAGACACTTTCCAAAGCACTTCAGCTGGGGAGGAAGAGTGCAAGTTGTTTATTTTCAGTGGCATCTCCATGGTTCCAAACCCCTTATCGAGACTCTTAATGAGCTATAACTGGATAATTAAAAAGCAGGGTTTAGGTCAGCTACTTCTGGTTTCAGCGTGGGATAAATGCATGTTTTGGAATAACTTAATATGGCATGGCTTTTAGGGCAGCAGTTTCTTTGAGCAGGGACTTTGGGGCAACTTTGGGCCAGAAACTGAAGCTTCACTAAGAAATGGCCCTGGAGGAAAATAGAATGTTTTGAGCATCCAAGTGCCACCAGATTCTGTGTTATCCTGAAGGCTGTAGCTACTCTTTCAGAGCCTTAATCCCAAGAACCAGCTGAGCCAGCCCAAGAGCATCACATTTGGCCTTTTTAGAGAAAATTCCCTGGCTGAATGGCAGGTACTGGCTGACATAAATAAGAACAATTGTAACAGAGCAGGGAGTCCTTTTGTACTGCTTACTGTTATTACAATAGTCTGATATGCAGTTACCTGCTAACAGCAATGTTAAAATTATTTCTGATTATCTGTACTGAATATTTGCCTGTAGCCAGTACCAGAGAGTATCCAAAGTGAATCTGAATTCACTCAAGGTGCTTGTCAAATACAGATCTCAGGGTCCTGGGAGAGTTCCTTGCTTCAGGATGAGATGCAGATGCTACCATGGCTCACAGACACTTCATTAGTATTAAACCTTGCCCTACAGGTGCTGGGTTGGCTGTGTTTTGCTAAAACCAGAGGGTTATTTTGAAAAGGGAAGAGGAACTGAGGGCAGGTTTTACAGCTGCTGTACAGATAATTTCGTACTTTTTCACTTTGTATAGTATTTCACTGCATTTTTATCTAACTGTAGGTAAGTAGGTGATAAGCAACAGCTGCTGATAGCTCTGGGCTTAAGGTTTGAGAAGTGTGACATCAAAATTCAGAACTGTGCTGTATATCAGGTGTTTAGTTATAATTTTCAAACTCCTAAAATCTAGACCTTTTAGGTACAGATTTGTCTCTCTTTCAGACAGTAGCTTATCAAACCCTGAAGAGCAGCCTGGTGTGCAGAGCAGAACAGGACAGACTTGTGCAGGAGGGTGTGTAGTGGTGCCTGTAGCAGCTATTCTTGCCAGAGGTGAGCCAATTCCTCCTGAATAAGGAGCCCTCTTTCACTTCACTGCTCCTGAAACAAGTCTGGGGAGGGTCTTCTCCTCAGAGAGTCTGTTTCAAAGGGAATGATTCTGTGTTTTTCTCCTGAGTGACTGGCCTGCATCACTTCAAAACTGTGCATCAATTCAAAATCTGCATCAATTGAAAATTGTGAACACAAATTTTGACTAAACGAAAGCATTTACAAGTAAGCATGGAATTAGTGTTCACTGCTATTCTGGAAGCAAGTAGCTGTCTCAAAGAACTCAAGGAACAACTTGAGGATCATATCTAGTAGGAAGACCTGAGAGTCCCCTGCCTTACTCTATTGGCACCCAGATGCAGCAGGCAGAGGGAGAAAGAGGTCTCATCTCTGCTCAGAAAACTGATCCAGGCTGGTCCACAGCCCATCTGCCCTAACAGTTTTCTGTCAGGGTTGCTGGTGGCTTTCAGCACTAGGATTTGAATGTGCTCAGCAGGAGAATCCACTTGCCTTCTGTGAAACAAACTACGTGGTATGCTTATGTCTAATGTCTTGTGGGATGGAGTATGGATCTGCTGAGCTTCTGATCTTAGCTTCCATCTCAATATCGTGAAATAATACTAATCCATACAACTGTTATTGATAGATTGTATTTCTTTGTGCTTTGAGAGTAAAGAAGGACATCAGAAGTGACTGGAGAATAAAATCACACTGAAATCAGTCATCTGGAGATGGTTTCAGACCTGTTTGAAGCTCAGCTGTACACACTAGGGACAGGAACTGGTAAAGGCCTACAGCCTTTCAATTTGCTTTGAGCAGTTTGCCTTCAATCTGACCTTTGTGGCAGATGCAGTACAGAATTGACAGGTTCTGATGCTTCTCTTAGCTGGTATCTGCAAAATCTCAGTTGTTAAAAGAATTAAAAGAATCACACAGGAGTTATTCAAATATTTAATGCACTTTTACTTTTGAATAAGCCATATTTTTATTCTTTAGCAAGAGGTATTTACAATACCCTGCCATAGCAGTACAAAGCCACAGTGTGTTGAGCCTATCTAGGGCTATGGTTTAAGAGTACAAATTCAGTGCAGAGGTAGCTGGGGCTGTAGTTACTCCTACCCAGCCCCTCCTCCTGGACTGAGCTACAGGCACCTGCGTGTTTCAGCTGCTCCTCACATATCCCAGGAGCATGGCACAGGGCAGTCCAGCTTCTTCACAGCCAGCAAGCTGCTTTACAGCCCAGGCTGGAAGAGAAAGGCAGCCAGCAGAAGGCAGTTTAAAGATTCAATGCTGATTCATGCACTCATGCAAGTTAGGTCCTGCCAGGCTGCTCCCCACTCTTTTTGTGAGGAACCTCATACTCACAGCAACTCAAATTTTACTGCTGCCATGAAAAAAAAAAAGCCTTTCATAACAGTTAAACTGTTACTAGGTACATTAGTAGTTGTGAGGTCTATTTTTCAATCTCAAAAAAGAGTCAAGAATACTACAGAGTGTTTTAGAAGATACCCAAATACTCTTCATGCTACTTTCTTAGCCTAGCTGAACAAAAAAACAAAACAAAAAAAAAAGCCCAACCCAAAATCCATTGGGATTTTGGAGATACACTGCATTTTTCTTTCTGTCCTTGCTCACATCTGGTCAACAGTAAGATCTAATTACAGTAGACTTAGTAAGCCCTGTACATGTGCTAAGCTAAAAGTAATTACCCTGCTGTTTCTTAGGGAAGTTATTCCCCTTTCTTTTTCCAGAGTTGTTCTTTCTCTACTTTGTCAACAAATTGCAGAATATCTTTAGCAAGAAGTTCAGGTTCCTCGAAGGCTGCGAAATGGCCACCTCGAGGCATGAAGTGGAAGGAGACGATGTTGGTGTACTTCTTCTTGGCCCAAGCCTGAGGTGTGTGCAGGATTTCATTAGGGAAGGAGGCAATGCCAGTGGGTACCTGTACTGTGAGCCTGAGAGAGGAGAGAGAATCACTGTCATCTTCCAAACACTTAAATTTGTAACAAATCAAAAGTCCCGAGGAAATGTTCCTAAACAGTTGGGCACACTCTCGTTAAGCATTAAAAATTTAACTTCCAGATCGTAAAACTGAAGACAACCCTCTAATTCCTGAGATTTTTTTAAATTTTTTTTTTGCATACAATGATATTATAAAGCAATTTTGCAAGGGCTCCAGGACATGAGGCTCAGGTGCATGGAAAGGGAGAGGAGAGCCCTAGGAGGTGGAGAGCAGCAAACTTCCTCTTGCTGTACACAGGGCTCAAATTGAGGGGCAGGCACACAATTTGATTAGAGCTGGAGAGAGATTTACAGAGAAGATAACCACCCAAATATGCTAAGCCTGGCAGGACAACTGGAGGGTAGGCAGAAGAACAATTACTTCATATGGGGAGAGAAGAGAGGAATGCTAATAATTTAGACTAGTTCAGAAGCAACATTGCTATATGTGAGACTCTACCTTGTAAAATAGCTCTTGCTTTTAACTGGCCCAAAGGCACACTACAAAACATTCTGCACATTAGGAAGTGTAAGGAAGTAACTGGATTTGGGGGGTGTGAATGATTGTGCTTGTTCTAAGAGCCACATTTTCCAGGTTTAAATATCCTATACACATAAACTGCACTGTCAGAAGTGAAAGACTTTAAAATGTAGATACAAGAAGTGTTGGGTACGTAGCCACTGGAAGCCTGAGGTCAGAACTTTACACAAGACTTTGAGACTGTCCTCTAGGCACATAGAAGCTCACATGGCTCATCTCATGCAGGCAGAACCAGAGCAAGATACTGCCCACAGCGTAGCCACAACGGCTTCAGGAACTGAGTCAGCTTCCTGGGAGCATCATTTCACAGCTAAATAAATACCATGGCACTAAGCTGTGGCTGTAAACACCTCAGGGCAGGTTTAAGCCTTCACTCATACTCAAGCTGACACAAGTACATGCAACCAAGCTGCTGTCTGAGCAGCAGCAGGCACATCAGTCTCACTGACTCCTCAGTGATGCAGTTTGTCAGCAGGCTGAAGTTGCTTCCAAAGGAAGGACTCAGGCCTTTTGCAGAAACAGCATGTCCAGAAAAGTACTAAAACTAAACCAACTACACTAAAAAAAACTGACTGCATGACTCAGTCACAGGCTGATTTAGTTACTGAAATAAAATCTGGAAGTACATGGATATACCATGAATGGGAGGCCCTCAAGCAGTGCCTCCAGTCAGATCTCCTCACTGATGGCTCAGGATTCCCACCTAAGCACCGTGTTTCCCAAGCACAGCACAGCACACCAAATAACTGAGGAATACTGTGATAGTGCAGTGTTTTTCCTCAGCATTCAGAAATCTATAAGGCATGCAACGATAAAATTAAGCTCAGGGCAAAGTACTTAAAGAGAAGAAAGCCACACTTACTTTTCGTGCTTCTGTGTGCCTATCCCCTTCCCCAAGTTTTCTTTGTAGAAACGCATGGAGGAGACAATGCAGCCTGACACCCAGTAAATCATGATATTGGTGAGCAGATCATCCAGGCTGAACTTCCTGAAGAGGCAAGCACAAGAGACTGCTTAAATAGAACTGAAAACTTACTTGCATCACTTTAGCAGGGGCTTGACTTTGGTTTGGTTTTAAGGAAAAAAAAAATTATAGGGAAAAAATAGTTAATTTGGTTAAGAGAGAAGAGGTGGAGTTATTATTCTCTCTCTGTCTGCCAGTGACCAATTAAGGATGGTAAAGGCTTTCAGACACAAACTGGGAAGTGACCTTTTAACTCCTACATGGAAGACAGATTTCAACAAGCACCTTATGCTCCAGCATGGCAGTCTCTCCTGTCCACAGACTGGGAGGGTGGGAGCAGAGCAGCACATGAACACCTTGTGCCATTTATTAATGACAATCTGAAATACTACCATGAGCCTTCAACAGAGGCCTCACACACCAACATGTGCTGTAAACAGTGCATGTTTCATATAAAATTATTAGCTGTGCAAACATTCCTTGGAAATCTGCTGCAACTGGGTCTTTCCATAGCATGGCCCCTCTCTCCATTCCTGACAGGTAGCTCTCAAAGGGGGTTTCAGCTCTGATTTCTGCTGCACACTGAACATAATCCTTTATTAGCAAGTGGTAGGTAGATGAAGCAGTAACAATCAATCCAAAGCAAATTCACAGAGAGTTAACTGTCAGTATTACAATGAATCATGAGTTGCCAGCATCTTAATGTGGGTTAAACTTTCAGATTTTGCTTCCTAATGTGATTCTTCCCCATAAGTCAGTTTTTAATATCCAGGAGTTGCAGGGTGTGTTTCTTTTCTAGGAGATTGAAGTGGGAAGGGAATCCATCAGCCTCCATGGCCTGTTTGTCTGTGTGTGCCGGAGTGCAGCCCTGAACCAGCTGTGGTCACTACAGATTCCCAGAGGTGTGAGGTGACCACTTCAGACAGAACTCTTCAGCTGTGACTCTGGGCTTAGTCACCTCATCCAACATGGCAGGAGAGAAAGGGCTTACCTCTCTAGTCCTCCATCCTCTAGATTCTGGAATTCCATATCAGTCCACGAAGAAAACTTCTCCAAGATGTATGCAGCCAGTCCCACAGGAGAGTCATTCAAACCACAGCCTGTAAAGGAGGAGGAAAATTTAACTGTAACTGATATCCAACTACTAAACTCAGAGTGTTAGAGAAGCTGCCTTTTATAATACAGGGGATGTAACTTTACAAAGCTGTTCCATCATCTGCTTTCTTAAATAAAGAAAATAGTACAGCGAGTTGGAGCCATTTAATGCCAAATCATAAACTGAAAGTATCTGCAAACGAGCAGGCTCCACATTAGTTCACACTGAACGTTTTTTGAACTGATGTAACAGTATTGGATTTCTGCTGGCTTTTCTTTTTTTCTGGTAAGCTAATAAGATTAAGCTCTATGTGCCAAGGAGGGTTTGCTTCCATTAATCTGGAAGTTGTCATGTATTAAACAGCATTACAGAGCCAAACCCCGCATGCCTACACATGACCAGGAGGATTTGCAGCATTATCTAAGAGCAGAAACATTTTAAGGATTATTAGAAAGTCATTAAGGAACAGCAAGGCTCTACTAAATGGTCCATCTTCTGAAGTAGCAGTAGCAAACTGCCTTCATGTAGAACAAGCCTCCATATAGATTTTATAGTTTGCTTTTCTTGGACAGAAAGAACACACCTGCACTTGGAACTCTGATCACACATCCTAGAGCTGTGAAATACAAGGGACTGTAAACTGTCCCAGCTTCTCAGTAAAACATGAGAAAAAGCTGTTCCCAAGGACCAACAACATATTTGAAGTTCCACCCATGAAACCCAGCTTTCCAGGAAGGTGCCTAACACTGCAGCTGGCACAATTTCATCAGTAATTGCTATTTAAAAATGACAGTGGAATTTCAGTTATTAAGCAACTACTATTGATGACTGAAAAAGCAAGTGTTTGAAAAAGTTCTGTTGAGCACTTTCCAGATGTGCTGGACATGACAAGCAATTGCCTGTTCTCATCTACTCACTGTGAGTAGAGTGCATCTGTTTTACATAGAGAAAAATGGACACTGGTCCTCAGAGCACTTGGAATGCAGGCATTTCTGTCAGAAATTTCTTCAGAGTGTTTTTCTCCTTTCAGGAACCTGCCACTGCCCTGATCCTGCAGAAATGCTCCAGCTCCCAAATCATGGACTGGCTGCTGGTTCCCAGCACAGACTGCTCTGCACAGACCACACATGACTGGTAAGGACAAGAATCAGTCAGAATTCTGACTGAGCAGGAGCATGGCTTAGGCATCTTCCAGATATCAGCTTCCCTCTCTTTCCTAAAGCACAGAAGACTGGCAATTTTTAGAAACCAAAACTCAACGGAAACAAAATTATCTTAAATCTATACAATTATCCTTTTGCCTACACATTTTTAGAACATACCTCTGCCTCTGTAGGTAAGCTTATGGAAAACCATTAAGAAATATTTCCCTGAGTTATGTTTTAAATAAAATCCATCAGTGAATTGCTGCTGCACCAAACTCAAATGTAGTCAGTACTCTTGACTCAGTTGTCCAATTCAGTCACAAAAGATGTTATTGAAATGGAAACACTTAATTCTCAGAGTTAAACCATCTGAGTGACTAGCTCATCTAGAAAGAACATTCATAGCTACAATTTTTTTTCCGTGAAAGTCTGCAAGTGATTCAGAACAATGAGTGAAAATGAAATTTGATTTTATTTCTCAGGTATTACTTATCTCTATAATAAATAAGCTACATTGTGTGCTGCTACAGCTAAAAGCTTCTTGTAGTTTACATTATTTGAATGTGATCCATTCTCTGAGAAAAAATTATCTTTTGCTCTCAGCAGAGCTGCATTTGAAATGGAATTAGAGTCCCCAGTGATAGCAGAAGTGGAAAAATATTAAACAATCTATTTTATTTATGAAAACTGGAAAATGAGGTCAGTGGCACTTGGAGCACACTCAGTTTGGGTGTGCAGATACCCTGCAAAAAAAATTCTTTTATGCATATTTTAAGCAGTACATTTTGTTTCTATGAAAGTACAACTAAAGGGAAGAGACTTAAGTATTCTGAGCTCAAAAAAAGGTTGTGGGGGGTTTTTTTGTTTGTTTTACCAACAGTATCCGGCTTTGTAGCCTGGATGTGAGCGTAGCCAAACTCAGACAAGATCTTGTAGAGCCCTTTTTTCAAGAAGGGGAACATCCTCCTGACATCTTCATCCTGGAATCCGAAGAGCCCTGGGAAGTACCGGCCCAGCAGGACTGAGAGCAGCTGAGTGAGTCCCAGCTTCGAAACTAAGACCATATTTAAATGGAGACCTTTCACATGGCTAAAGACAAAAACAGAAAAACCCCACAAGTTAATAAAAGTTTAAAGTTGTTGTGTTTAGAATCATAAACCATCCTGAGTTGGAAGGAACCCACAAGGATCATCAAAGCCCAACTCCTGGCCCTTCACAGGACAGCCCCAAAAATCACACCATGTGCCTGAGAGCATTGTCCAAATGCTTCTTGAACTCTGGCAGGCTTGGTGCTGTGACCTGTAACATTTAAAATGTTATTAACAAAAATGGACATGCTTGAATTCCAGCCTGTAAATGACATCATGACCTCAGCTGCCTGTTGTAGTGTGGCTTTTCAAAGAAAAATGACAAGTCAAAAGGACAACTGTCAGTAATCAGCACACACTCCAAGGCACTAAGACACAAATCCTCCTTTTTTTTTCTTTACAAGTACTTGTCCTACTCCAGACCTCAGCAAGGCCATGACAAAACTACTGCACAACTATTTGAAAGAAAAAAACATTCTGGATCTTTGCTTAACACTAAGCACCAAAGAGAGAAACCACACAGCAAGGACGTGGACAGGAACTCCCAAGTGCAGAGGAAATAACTATTCACAGAGTAAAACAGCAGGGCCAAGGGGGTACTCACTTGGGGGCTATCTGGGCCAGGTTGGTGCAGATGAGCCAGCCACAGTCACCACCCTGGGTGTAGAACTCGTTGAATCCCAGTCTGAGCATCAGTTCATAAAAAACAGAAGCAGCACTCACAGAGTTGAAGTCTGCATTGAAAGAACAGAACACTTTTGTTGCATTAATTCCACCCAAACTTCTGACCCTGCAGCACTGATTCTCCACATTGAGGCAACGTTCAAGTTCCTCAAAAGCTGCAAGTCCATGTCTCCTTGCCTGACTCTGTGGAAGCCCTTGCTCAGCAGTCAAGCATAGAGAACAAGCAGAAACCATGAGGAGAACAAACTCCAGCCTTTGTTACAGACCTCTCCACTGCTCTGAACACTGACCATGAAAATTGTAAGCAGGGAAGCAGAGAAAAGCAAACCCAACCTTGCCCACGTCATTCACCTGCACATGCAATTAAATACTAAATTCAGTACCACTTTAAACTCAGAGCACAAGCTGGGCAAGCAGGTATTTGGCTGCAATCTGCCATGTGGATGCATGAACTGCTTTGTTTCAACTCTTCCTTCTCACCTACTTGTACAATGCTGTCGAATGTGGATGCAAAACACCCAAAAGGAAGAGTAACAAATTAAATTTACCCTGCCTGCTCACTCACAGACAATTCATGGATGCAATTATAACTCTTGAGTTGTCACTTCATAGCTTTTTATGGTTCTTTTCAAATTACCTACACATTGCTCCAGAAACCAGCTAGTGATGTCACCCAAAGTCACCCCCTTATCTCCCTCCTCCCACACCACACACAGGATCTCTGTTTCCTCACTGGGAAAACAAGAAGTATGTAACAGGAGCTGCTGTTCTGCTAACAGAGGCTGCCTCGCTGTGAGACTGGGCTTGTGGGGGTTCATTTTCTTCTCCTGTGTCATACCTTTTTTGTGGGGTGCTTCTGAGAAACCATAACCAGGGATAGATGGGCAAATGACTTCAAAAATGTGCTCATCAGCGAGACCATGGCTTGCAGGATCCGTCAGGAGAGGGATAATTTTGTAAAACTCGTAAAATGAGCCAGGCCAACCATGAACCATTAATAGTGGCTTTGCAGCCCGGCCTTCAGGCAAACGAGGAGGCTTTACATGAACAAAATGGATATCAATGCCTGTAAAAATAAAATCAATAATTAGCATGCCCAAATTTACTGTCACATCACTGAATTACATCACAACACTGAAAGCAATCACAGAACAGATTACAAATAAAGCTTTTCTCCAGTCCTTTTTCTTGGTGAGTGTGCAAAGACACTGCATCTCTCTGGATGCATTTATCCAAGGACCTTAAAGTACTTTATAATGGGCAATTAAGCGTCACAGCAGCCAAATGAGGTTGGCTACTTCTGTTTTAAAATAGTTTGGCAAATTGAGACACAGCAGTGAAGCAATCTACCAACAGTAACACAGTGACTCACACAGCTTACAGGCAGAGGAGACAATTACATCATTTAGTCCAAGTGCCCTTAAATTTTACCCAAATGTCCCTACATGGCACAGGATAGGCTTCAGTCAGCCACAGATTTTTCTTCCTGAAAGGCCTACAATTGCAGCTTGAAGGCACCAAGAGATAGGGAATCCATCACAACTTGCAGCTGTTTGTTTGGGGGCATGAATCACTTTCCTCATTTTGCGCATGCCTTACTTTCCATTTGAACGTGTCTGGCTTCTGTCGCCAGCCACTGACCCTAAATGCTACACAAAAGGAATTTGAAAAGCCTTCACTAAGTATTCTCTGTCTGTGGAAGCTTCCTGTAATCAGGTCACACATCTTATCTGCTGATAAACCAATCAAGCTGAGCTAAAAGAGAATTAAAGTGTTCATTTTTGTAGTTCTTTCCTACCTGTTAGCCTATGCTTTCAGTATCTGTTTAAGTGAGTAAACAGGGACCTGTGTTCTAGTCTCCTGCTTGTTCAGTAAAAGGTAAAATCTGCAATGTGGTTTCCATTGTGACTTTTTTCCAGCAGGAAAGCTTCACACAGCACTGCACTACCTGCTTCAGGTGAGCTGCTCTTTCTCAAACTAACTCAGGGCTTTGTTTTCCAGGAAACAGGAATTTGTTCTCAGCAGAGCCTGAATGCCTCATTTCTTGATGTATTTAAGTATATTTTACTCACATCAACTCTACCAGTGATCCCACCGTCTTTCACTGACTTGAGATTTCCCCATCCTTGACACTTCTGTGAATCTCTGTATTCTCTGAAAAGCTTTCAAGTGATGACAGAAGGTAGAAATCTGATACACAGCCTGTTTGACCTTGTCTTTTCATATCTCCTCTCTGTAAACTTTCCCAACGCAGAAATTTCCCTTCCCGTTGCTATACATAGAGCATTGTCCTTAGCTGCTTCTCCCTTTCTTGTCTCAGATGGTGCTTTTTTCTTCTTTTTTAAGGGAAGACTTTCTATTTTTATCTTTTTCAGCACTAACCATTTAAGCATTTAAATAAATGCTTTGTGCTCTAACCATTATGTAGCACCGTTTATCCCAAATCCATTTAAAATATTATGGCAAACCACACCATTTGAAATAACACACAGTTATGGGTGCGAGTAAAAATGGAGCAAAATGCTCTGTTAAGGTTAAATTTTGCCATCTTGTGAGACAATTGCCTGCTGTGCTCTAGATCTAGGACTGCAGCCACAAATGACCCCAAGCACCATCCTAAATCAGGCATTTTAAAAAGCCCAGTCTGACCAAGCTCCAGCACCAGCAGACCTTGGCTTGAATGAACTCTGGAGAGGTGCAGTGTGCTCTGATTGAAGAGAAACCATTCCCTCACACCTGGCAGCACATCAACCCAAGGGGAAAGGCATTGTGCATTCCTAGGCCTGGGAATGCCTGAAGAAGTGCAGCAGAGCACATCTGCCCTGCCAGGCAGGGACAACCTGCCCAGCTGAGGAGCGCTGCCAGGCTGATGGCCTCACTGTGACAGTGGCAGCTGGGCAGCTCCAAGGAGCAGGAGGAGACATCTGTGGGAATTTTTGCACGACTGCATGCGAGGCAGGGAACATGTGTACATCTTAAGATCCACTTCTGCTTCCAAACACCCATGCTTGGCTCCTGTTAACACCAGCTGACAGCCCGCTCATGCACAGGAAATTCCACTTGTCATTCCTTGTCCTAAAGGCTTCAGTTACAAGGAGATCCCAGCTCCTTCAGCAGTGATGCCAGAGATCCAGACTATGGCAGCCAGGGAGGGAAGGCCCTGTGACACAACCACAGCCTTCTTCCCACCAAGTTCCCTTGCAGACAAATTTATCTATTGCTGTTTATATTTTAAGGGGAAAAACTACACACCTTGAATCTTTGTTTTGAATTGTGGGTACTTGTTGAGGACTTCAACTTGTTTCTTCCAATTGAACTGGTTTTTCCAGTAAGACACAACCCTCCTGAGATGCACTGAGTTAGTTCCATAATGGAAGCAACTGTTCTCCAGTGGCTCAGTGAATCGAGCCTGGTCAAGTCTCCTAAATAAATCCTACAGCAAAAAAGAGAGAAGAGACATTAAAAGCACTTGTGTCTGCTGTCTTGGGCTGTGTATGATTTCTAGTTATTCCCCCATGAAATGACAGCAATGGATATAACGTCTCTAATTAGACACCTGTGCCTTTTGCTGATGCCCCGTCACTGTTCCAGTTCTTTTCCTCCTCCAGATGGCCTCCTTCCTCTTCCATTCACAGCTGTTCTCAGCCTTTGTTCTGCAGGGCTGCCTAACCTGTCTGCCAGGCTGAGAACCACAGAGGGCGAGATGCTCTGCTGGCACTGCTGTGGCTTCAAAGAGCCTTTCCAGGGCACTTTCCTCACAGACAATGCATGATCTGGCCCAAACCTTTTGCTTTCCTACCCAAACCCAGGGGTAGGAGGTCTTCACCAGGAAACATTCAGAAGGATTTTGCATAAACAGAAATTTGGAGAAATCAGACTGAAATTAAAGTTTGCCAATCTGGAATAACAATGACAGTCACCTTCCACTGCACTTCAGGAATACAGGGGATGCTGGTGATACTGCAAGATCACTCAGCAGGGAAGGACAGCCAAGAGCCCCTTCCTACTGCCAACAGAACCACAGAGTAGCTGAAAGGCCGATCTGGAAATCTAATCCTGCTCAACCTAAGTTAGAAATTATCCATCTGAGTGTCTGCAGTGTAAGGGGAAAACATAACGGAGACCAGTGTCCCTCAATACTACTAAGAAGGGCAAGCAAAGAGTTAAAAAACCCAGGCCTTGCTGAGAAATTAGGAATCTATTATAAATTAATAATATGAGCAATCCCATGAGTATTGTTTGAACCATGACTCCACAAAGATCTATGAAATCGTTCAATCCCTGGCTTAAACACACACAATCAAAATCTTTCTATCCAACAAATTCTGCAACGTATGTGTTTACTGTAATTACCACGGTAATTTAGTGTTGACCAAAGTAGACTATTAATTACAGAAGAATCAGCATCCAACACAGCTGCAAACATAAAGCAGTCAAGAAAATGAGGTATTTGTAATTGCTTTGGAAAGAAAGGGGAAAAAAAAAAAGACATTGTTCTTATTCTGGTCTACACAAACTGAGGAAAATGCACAAACAGAAAAACAGAGTTGAATAATCTGTAATATGATTTTTATGTTTATTAGGCTTTGCAGAGTAGGTTTATTTACCAGCAATCATGCAAGAACCAGCTGAGAACAAAATTATACAGTGAGATCTGCCTATTTGTACCTATCTTCTGAAGTACTGAAAAATCCCTTCCCCCAAGGCCTGGACATCACTGGCACTCTGTTGGTTCAGTTTAAAAATTACTTCCAAATACATTCTGCATTTATTTGGCCATTTCTTCCTTCCCTCCCCCAGCACAGAGATTTGCTTACACTCAGCTCTTCCTCTGTAGTCTCCACCTTAAATGGCCTAATACTTGAGTCTTCTTTAGTCACAGGTTTTTGTCCCTTGCCCCACCAGCCATCTTTGAAGGGCAGCATCTCTTCCTTCTTCTTGGAAAATAAGAAGTAGATGAGGAGTGTCCCCAGGACCAGGAACACCTCGAGCAGCATGATGCCTGCAAGAGAGGAACAGAATTCTGGTGAGCCCAATCAGCTCAGAGAGACACACATTCTTTGTCAAGACTACAGAGGTTTTCCCATTTTAGACAGGATTCCAGCTACAGGATGTCCTGGCACTCACATGATATTGATACTTCTGTGAAATTTCTGAAATAAAATGTTTTAACCTGCCCAAATGAGGAAAAAATGTTTTAAATAAAAAACAGAACTCAAAGCAAGTAAAGAGACAATGTGGCAATTAAATAGTTGTTATAATGTAGATATAACATAAATATAACTTAATAATTGCAATGATATAATTCACATTTGATGCTTTCTCTTCCTCTGAAGCTCTAGATTCCCCACAAATCCCATGGCAGAGCTTCTCTGCAGCAAGGCTTATACACTTCTACTGCTATAGATTCGGAGGGAAAGAAAAACAAGACATATATATACAGAATAAAAGGTGAACAGTGTGAGGGCAGCCACCTTGTACCTCCGAGTCAGCCAGGAAGTGGAGCAGGGATATATTTGCACAACCCTTGAACAGCAGTGCAAAGGGTAGTCACACCCTCCCTTTCCTTCTCCCTGTCAACTGTTTTAAAGAGAAAACAGAAGCCCATGCTCTAAAATGTGATCACATTCCCAAGTGATAAAATTCTGTCAAGGTGCAGAACAACCTGATTTCACAGCACATCTGCATAACCCAGCTGCAGGGCTGCTGTGCTTCAGTCAAACGGTGCATCCCAACAATAACAAAAAAAAAAAAATCCATTTTGAATAGATTTGGACTGTTTTGTGCTGCAAGTACAAAAAAAACCACTAAGACTTGTATTTAATAATTAACATTTTCAAGCATGCCTGTAAGTGTAAGAAACATTTGTAAGATGGTTTGGGGAACAGTAGTGTCATCATTTTAATGCATAATTTTAAAGTATGTTGTGCTTCAAACACTCATTTGCTGGGGAATTGCTAAGACATCAAGTATTTCAAAACTTCTGTAGGGCAAGGATTGTTTATGACCCAGAATGTCTTTATTCTCTCTAGACCCAGAAGGTTTTGTTGGTTTTGCTGCTGCAGAGTAATTTGATGCTCTGGAATGGCTCAAAGAGTCATTAGAATAGACCAAATTTACTCCTGTATCAAAACAGGAATTTTAACACAAGTTAACAGGAATTCACAGGATTAGAGCAGGAATTAAATTGAATGGAATCATTTAAGTGCCTTTATGTGACAGGACAGGTTTTAGTCAGTTTCTTGAGTTTAATTTTCTGGTGGCTGACAATAAATAAATAAATATGTAAGTCAAGGTAAGCACCCATAAAACACTTGTACAGAAGCCGGGCACTCTGCAGATTGAGCAAGCTACAGAATAAAAAACAAAAAAACCACCAAAACCCCCCAACTATTTTTCACACATACAAGTGCTACAGCCTTGAAAGTGCTGGAATCCTCAGAGGCTGAAGCTATTGGGAATGACAGGCACTGAAAAGATTTGTTCATTTGTTTCACTGGTGCTTCCGTAATTTCTGCCACTTGTTTTTCTTCACAATGTTATCTGGAGTGCAAGACAACACTCTTTCCCCACCTTTACAACACCCAGGCCATAACTCAGCCCAGAATTATAAAGTTTATCCAATTTCAGCTTGCCTCAGCACACAGACCAATGCAGTTTAGGAGCATCCTGAGCACAATTAAATTTTACTGCAAAGCAGAACTGGAGGGGCTTCTAGAAACCTCAGAGCACTTTACATAGAAATTATACCTACCACAGCATTTTATAACATTTCTACTCCTAAGCCTTCATGGAGAAAAACAGCAACTTCCCCGAAATCACAACACAGCTTGGGCCGTGTCTAGACTAGCAAGGTTCACCACCATAACTATGTAAACACCACACAGAAAAATCCAAACTCTTGGCCAACTCCAATCTGTTTCCAGAGCCCCCCAGCAAACAGAAGCGCTGCTGTCAGCACCAGCCCTGTTGTTCAGGCTGGGCTACCTCCCAAAACAGAGCTCCCTTTCTCCTGCTCCTGCTGCATCAGCACCGCAGCCCCTGCCAGCACCGTGACCGCGGCACAGCACCCAACACGGAGCTGCTCTGCCCAGGAACACAACCTCAGCCCGCTCCTCAGAGAGAAACCCCCGTGTCCTAAGGCACTGGAGTGCCCAGAGCTAGAGAACCATTTCTGCTCCCCCATATCTGCTCTCAAGGACACTTGAGAACACAGAATTTTTGCAGCAGGAGACCTGGGGAGGGATTGAGTGCAGCTTCACATCTCACAAGAATCCTATCTTCTATTGCAGATAGCTGAGGCTGGTGACAAATTGATTTGCAAGAGATGTCATCCTGACTTGGAAGAAGCTGCCTCTGATACGGGCTGGGTTATTTTTTGCTAACAGAGATACTCTGTATTCAATCTCTCCCAGTTCCTTTGAAACTGCCTGTAAAATTCCTGATAATAATGATCAAGGGTCCCAAAGCTCCAACTGTGTCACATTTTCTGGTGAGTGCCCAGGAAGGGAAGGACCAAGTGTGTCACCAGTATTTTAACTTGCAGCAGTTCACTCAACAGGATTGTTTTGTGAGGGTTGAGCTGCTGGGATGCAGCATGTTCCCTACCAACAGCTCCAGCCTGGGCCCAGAGGAGGCTGCTCAGAGCAGTGATTTCCCAAGTTCACTATTCAAGTTGCTTCCCTGGAACCCTTGTGTGCTGTTTGAGCAGCACAGAGCAGCCTCAGTTGGGATGCATCTGCACCAGAACTTCCTCAGCTAATCATTACTGAGATCTGTGGTGAAATGGAAGGTATCAGCTCCTTAACACTTGTTCCACCAAGCAGCAATAAGGCACCACGAATGTGGAAGGACAAACAGGTACAATAACAGTTTTCTACCCTCAGTTTTCAGAGATGTCACCAGCACAAGTGCTGGTGGATTTTATTGTGTGAAGTCTCTTGATGCAACCACACTGGCACACTGCCTTTATAAATGAGTGCTTCAAAGGGAATCCATGTTTTGGTTTGGCTTTTTCCTCTTTTTATGTGACCAAAGGCAAGATCTCGGAAAGAAATATTTATATTTATTCCATGGTCCTCTGAGACTTTGCTGTTCTCCAGGGTGGATATTGTTTACAGACAACACTTAAATACCTTAGACAGTACTTTTATCTTAAAGAGTTCAAGGAGGAATGCTTTTGGTTTGTTGCTTTAAAAACATGTTTTGAAAGAAAAATGTTGAAATGCAATGGGCCCAGTAAATAGCCTAAAAACAAGCTCCTCCTTGAAGAAGGCCAAGCACATCTTGAGAAGTATGTTTGCAAGAAAACCCCAAAACTTCCTTACAGTGTCTTACAGCTCCCTGTTGGAAACACTCCTGGTTTTCAGCACCTTTTTGCATTTTCATTTGTCCTCTGTCTGTGCATTAACATCAGAACTAAGGGGTCCACAGGAATAGAGCAATTATTATTTACATCAAAGCTATGTCCTGTCTCTTGCTTTGTCTTCATCAATACGCAGGAAGAGATGCCCCAGAGCACAGTGCTCTTTATTTTCAGAGAGGTCATCTATGCAACAGCTTAATGGTAAAATCCCCCTCTCCTTCTACAAGTGCCCATCCATTTCAGCATTGCAGCATTAGAATCCATCTGAAACATGTTTTTGGAGAAATAAGCAACTGTGCAGACCTTCACCATAATGCTGGAAATGCGTTCTGGCCCAAACACAGCCCAGCTGCCATGAATGACGTGCAACACCCACAGATTTGAGGATGCTACCAAACCCTGTCAGTGCAAAACTAATGCTGCATGGCTGAAGCAAGAACTGTGAGACTCTGCTGCTTCCAGAGTTAATCATGGCTTAGGGTTAGTAACATTTTCTCTACAAGACTGGTTTACCAGCACACTGCAAGGGAGCTCAGAGCACTTGGCACACTCTGAGAGATACAAGGTTTATTGATTAATAATTACTCTGCAGGTGAAATAACAGCTCAATTTAGAAGTGATTTTTCTGTTTATTTTTGTTCTCCTACATAAAGTCCCACATCAGGCTTTACCAAGAAGGCACCTCTTTGCTGCAGCATCTCTGTTTACATGTCGGTTTGCTCAAAGAGCACAATTGCAGGTTACTCTTCCCTAGAGACCTGAAGGAAAAACAACCCCACTGAAGAACTGTCACTGCACAGCAATAAAAAACTCACAGCACTTGTAACAGAGTCCCTGAGCACTGCCTAAAAAGGACCAAGAAATGGCACAGGACCCACAGCTTCACCCTCAGTCTATGTCCTACCATCTCCAGGCATCACATTTTTGCCATCACGTAGCAACAAAAACAGACAGAAAACCATTAAGTCTCTCAGAGAAGAAAATCTTCCTATTTCTGTAGTTTATGGAGCATTATGACAAGCTTGAAAATAGCTTAGCAACGCAGAAATTGCTTTGCCTACAAGGGATATCATCTCCCAGGTGAGCATGAAATGATACATTAACATTGTAGGGGAGGAGGAGAGGCAGGCATCAGATGAAATAAAGCATCCTACGCAGGAAAGAAAATCAAAGACAGGAAATACAAATCCAATAGAGTTTCTGGCTTGTCTCGATAAGAAATTTAGCATTTACATTTTTTATTGCCACAGGGAGGTGGCACACAATGCTATCTCCAAAACAGCAGGAAGAGATGATATCATCCTATTTTACAGGTCTTTTTTTTTCTCTAGACTGTTCACAATCAGAAATTAGCCAGTACAGAAGGAACTTAATTAGAAGGCTACAAGCAAGGAGGGAGGTCACGTCCCAGAAGCAGTGAAACCACATTCCCTCAGGCCTCTCTCAGGAGTGGGGCATGCTGCTCTCAAGACAGGGTCAGGAGTACCCTGCTGAGGAACACCCCACACCTACAGCACTGAGGCACTGCTCCTGTGCAGCTCTTCACCTGCAGGAACAAGCAACAGGGCCAGTTTAGGCTCTGGGGGTGCCCCCATGCATCTCCCAGAAGTTGCACTTACAGCACTTATCCTTCAAGC